CTTCCCTGCCAGCAATACATGAGAGTTCTAGTTGCTCTGCAATTCTTGCCAGCGCTTGGTATTGTGATTTTTTTAAAAAAAGTTAGCTATTCGGGACTTCCCTGGTGGCTCAGTGGTTAAGAGTCCACCTGCCAACGCAGGGGACACAGGTTCGAGCCCTGGTCTGGGAGGATCCCACATGCTGCGGAGCAACTAAGCCCGTGCGCCACAACTGCTGAGCCTGCGCTCTAGAGCCCGTGAGCCACGGCTACTGAGCCTGCGTGCCATAACTGCTGGAGCCCGTGGTCCACAGCAAGAGAAGCCACCGCAATGAGAAGCCCGCACACCACAACGAAGAGAAGCCCCCGCTCGCCACAGCTAGAGAAAGCCTGCGTGCAGCAACGAAGACGCAATGCAGCCAAAAATAAATAAATAACTTAATAATTTTTAAAAACCCATAAACCACAACAGTAATTTCTTTAAAAAAAAGTTATCCATTCTGATAGATGTGTAGTGGTATCTTATTGTAGTCTTAATTTATGCTGCCCTGATGGCTGATGATGTTGAATATCATTTCATGTGCTGATTTGCCATCCGTATAGCTTTAGTGAAGTTCCATTTTACTTTTAATCCTTCCATTTCCTCAGGTGCCTCAGCGTTTATGCTTACGTGTTGACCAAACAATTTCCTGAAGCGAGTGTGTGGGGAGGAGGAGGTGGAGAGAAGGGAGGCAGGAACAGAGACATAAAAGTATGTGTTGTTCAAGAGCCTTGTCCAGTGGCATTCATTTCTCTCACTTCTTAAAGTATTTAGGGGACTTTTCTTAAATTTTAGGTAGACCTTGAAAATAGTAAGCTGTTATAGTGAGTAAGGGCAAGGTCTCTGGATCCAGACTTCTAGGATCAAAACGTATCACTTCTCAGCTCTGAGACCTTGGGCAATTAACCTAACTTTTTTGTGCCTCAGTTTCTTTATCAGAAAAATGAAGATAAGAATCCCTACTTCATAGAGTTTTTAGGAGGATTAAATGTGTTAACATCTATCAAGTATTTAGGACAGTACGTGGCACACAGTAAGCTCTATATCAGTGTTAACTACTGTTGATGTTATTATCCTCACGGTGACTGTATATTTCAGTTGAAAAATCAGAGTTTATTTTTATATGCTTCCAAGTATGAGAGGTAGTTGTCATTTTTCCTCTGCCATAATAGTGGAATTCTTAGGTTGTTTTCATTGGTTAAGAGAGACAGCAGGGCAATTTAAAATAGATACCATTCTAGAAAATCTAGAAGACCTGCTGGACTTAAGCGGAAAATGTTTTCAATTTATAAGCTAAGGTATGAATTCAAGAACACCTAATGCTGATAGTCTAAATGTTCCATTTGCTCTAGTTTATGGTTGCATTTACTTTTATCATTGTTCTTTAGCCTGATCTATTTTTTTAGAAAACAAATTACATATTTAATTGCAGTGCCTTTTTTTTTTTTTGAGATCACGACTGATTTGTCCTTGTTTAAAGAAAAAAGCCATCCACATTAGGTATATAATTCTGAGCCCTACTTGACGTAAGGAGGAAAATATCCAACACTTATCAGTTATGTCTCTGAGTCTCATTTCTGATTTGGGGCCTTTTTAGGTTGTGGAGATGTTGGAAGTTCCCAGTAAACCCACACAGCTGTCATACAAGTACTACTTCATGTCTGTGAATGCTGCAGATCGTGAAGACAGCCCTGTCATGGCCCTCCTGCTGCAGCAGTTCAAGGAAGACATCCAGGAATTAGTTTATCGTACAAAAAATGGGAAGCAGCCTAGAAGCAGTACCAAGCGCAAGGTATGATCACATACAGAAATGAGCACAGCGTTTGCGTGTATGAGCTTTGCTGTGCTCTTTAACCATTTTTAAATGGGAAAGAATTTGGTATGGTTTTTAAGAGACTGAGCAGCAATAAGGTTTAGGTAACAAATGTCTACGTATTCTTGCAAATGTTTCTCTCTTAATTAACAATTATATACCATTTTCCAAAAGACAGCTTGTTAAATACATAATATTTACTACTAAATTTCCAGCGTTTAGGTCAATATTTGCTCAGTAAATATTTGTTGAATGAATTAACATTTGTTTTGGTTAACCTTGACTTTTGTTATAGTAGTACAACTGCCTTAACTAATTGCATCACCTGTACTTTTTTTACCCACTTGCGTTCTTTACTTAAATTCTAGTTGTCTGATGATCTGTGTCCAGTAGAACCCAAGAAAACCAAACGATCAGGAGAAATGTGTGCCTTCAATAAAGTTCTAGCTCACTTTGTCGCTATGTGTGATACAAATATGCCATTTGTAGGACTTCGGTTGGAGGTAATTTGGGGTACTCTAATTTTTAAATGCCTTGCTAAAGCTACATGAATTCCATTAGGAGAACCAGATGGTTGTGATCACTTGTATATTTTGGGAGGGGTGGGGTTGAAATCACAGCATCTCGTGGTATACATGTAAAACATGACTTAAATTATTTCATCTCTCTGGTTCCAAATTGTGGGCCTTCTGTGCTTTGTGGAAATGGAAAGTAAATTCTTCCTAGTTTAAAAAAAAAAAGAAAAAGGATAACTTTTGAGAATTAACCTCTTACTTGTATACCTCTTAGAAGCATTATTTACCCTTTTAGAGATGGGTAGTGGATAAAGGGGTGGCTCATTTTTCAGTGGGTGAAGCTGTACATATTGCTTACTAATAAAATTGGGTTCCTTTCTGAGAAGCAGGTCAGAAAGAATATTAAACTAAATTTTTACTTTTTTCCTGTGGAAGAAGCAATAGACTTATGCAGAGTTAGTGTCTTTCAAGAGTACACAATCGGATATCCAGCATGATCCCCAAACATGAAAGTAAAGGGAGGTAACAGAACCTGCATTTTTGTATTTCCAAAAAGGGCTTTGGCCAAGGATTGGCAGCCCTTAAAAGTAATACATCAAAACCTTAATTATTTCCCTCTAGTTTAAAGTTTTACTTTCTGTAAGACTCCTCCCCTCTGTAAATTATTGGGAATGAAGAAGAGGCCTAGAAACATGGAAGTGGATTATTTCAGTTGGGCTGATGATGATAGTCTTGGGAAGACTTGTGGAAAACATTTTGATTCTTTAGAGCAGGAATCAACAGACTTTTTCTATAAAGGGCCAGGTGGTAAATATTTTAGGCCTTTGTGGGCCATAGTCTTTTATTACAGCTTTTCAAATCTGCTGTTGTAGTGTGAGCCAGCCATAGTTGATATTTAAACAAATGAGTGTGGCTATGTTCCAGCAAAACTATTTACCAAAACAGGCAGTGGCTGGATTTGGCCCATGAGCTGTTGTATGCCAACCGCTGCTTTATAGGGTTTTGGGATCTGACGGCCGAGAATAAGGTGTGAAATTGTGAGGAGCAGCAGTAGCCCAGAAAATCCAAGCCCAGAAATAGGCTAAAGTAGATACTTATGTCCACGATGTCCCCGTTCCTAGAACTGTGAGCTTGACGGATGGCCTCTTGTCTGGGAACTGGCCGAAGCTCCAAAACTGTGCAGTGTCCGTGCTTGTATCTACTTAACTGTGTTGTTGGGCTCTTTCATCGTGCCATGTGGATTGGTTACATGAATGTCATTCAGTTACTCCCTTGCAGTGGGAAGGGAGGCTACATGATGCCCAGGGGCAGTGTAATGCCTCATTCATTGTCTGCTGTCTTCCCCATTACCCACAGGCTAGAAGTCGCAAAAACTTGTGTCTTCGTAGTGTCCCTATAGACACCTGTAGACATATGGCCTCTGTCCCCCTTCTCTGTGCTCCTATACCTGTTACACACATAGGCCATGTAACATTCTGTAGTAGTCTACTGAACTCAGTCAAGCTCTTAAAAACTTAACTTTTTCTTCTCTCAATGAAAAAGACATGTTAAAGGTAAAAGCAAGCACATTTTCTGCTTAAGGTAATTTATATTGAGATGTGAATAACTAAATCTAGTCTTACCAGGAATGTTTATATTTCTGATCCATAGAAGAGAAGCCCTCCCACACTTTGCTTCCTTTTGAATCTGGACCCCTACTGCCTATTTGGTCAGCAGCTATTTTCCTAAACCTCTGCTCTTCCCAGGCCCAAAGAGCAGGGCTCAGTGAAATGCTTAGGGCTGCCTTAAATCCTTTCTGGAACAGGGTGGGTATAAATAAATAAATACTCTGTCAGAGAAGACCTGGGAATGTGTGCTGAAGGCAAGCATTTCTTTGCTAGATCAGATGACTTCCTGGCCTACCCAAATAACCTGTAGTTCCACTGATAAGGTCTCAGGCACTATCCCTGCATTTATCTTTTTAACTCATTTACTGAATCCTCCAATTGGGAATGATATCTCACTGGGTAAATGCATAAAGTGGAAATCTTCTCTTCTTGGGTTTCACAGAGGAAATAGTTGTTAAAAATAAAAATGTATTCCAGAAAAGTTGTAAACGGAAAAATATTGTTTGTGATTAAAAATGAGATGTGGCTATGACTCGAACTTTGTTTTCAAACAAACATAATTGAATCACACAAGAAAACCAGTCTTATTTGGTTTCCCAGGAAATCGGATGGAGGCACAATGCTCATGCCTAATACGTTGTCACTTTGGGACAGAGTGACCCTAGTACAGATGCCACGAGAATAGAGACAGTAGTACTTAGAAAAGGTAGTTTCCTTTGTAAAATTGGTGGTCTGACATAACTGTGCTTTTCTCTTTTCAGCTGTCAAATCTGGAGATTCCACATCAAGGAGTGCAAATGGAAGGTGATGGCTTCAGTCATGCGATTCGCTTATTGAAGTAAGTCCCTGTCACGTGTCTGACTTGGTGCCACACACTGCAGCCACACTACCAGTGCTGCCCCTCTCCTTCCGTGAGTCAGCATAAAGCCGAGTTCAGAACCTGCGGATGTCACAGATTTCTGCATGGAATTACTGTGGTCTGGGGGAGCATTCTCTTTCACCTGCCAAGTGGAGATCCAGCAGCCCTTGGTATTTTAGGATGTCTTTCCTCTGGCTTATCTTTCATTCATTCAACAGGTGTTTACTGAGTGTGAGTATGTGTCAGCCTTGAATTCTGAAAGGGCCCTTCAGGATGCTGTGGGTTCACGTAGCAGGGGGATCTGGGCCAGTTCAGAAGTCAGGAAGGGTATCCCTGAAGAAGTACCAGTTGTACGTCGGCTGGAGGAGAGGTGAGAATTAGCCAGAGGAAAGGGAGCTAGAATGGGAGTGGGCACCCCTAACCAGAAGGAATAACTGCGAAAATGGAGGCTTAGAGGGAAGAGAAAGCTCGGCATCCTGGAACTGAAGGAAGTTGGGCGTGGCAGGAGTTAGGAGAGATGAACCTAGAGACGTAAGCAGGAAGGGGTCAGATCCTGTAGGGTCTTTGTAAGTGTCCTTGAGGAATTTAGACTTTACCACAATGGCAGTAAGACGCCATCAGATGATTTTAAGCAGAAACTGGCATCATTACATAGGTGTTTTTGAAAGCTCACCCTGATAGGGGAGCAAGACTGAAGTAGCAAAACTAGTTGCTGAAATGTTTCACACCAGAGTTCTTAGTAGCGTGGACCAGGGAAAGTTCCGTAAGGTCTTAGGGGATGAAATCTTAAGGGGTTGGTGATTAGATTGATGTCGAAGGTGAGAAAGAAGAGAAGGTGGCAAAGATAACGCTTAGTTTTATCTTGGGCAAATGATGGATGACAGTGATGTTTTCTGAGACGGGACCGAAGATGTGAGTTTGAAGGGGCTTTGCTAAGTTTGAGGTGCCTAGACATCCCTTTGGGCAGGCAGGGTTGTGTCTCAAGCCCAGGTGACTGGTCTGGGCAGGAGAAGTAAATGAGTCAGTACCAAGGTGAAAGTAATTGAGCTGGGATAGTAACTTAGATCACCAGGAAAGAGCACGCGGCGGGAGATGGGCAGAGGGCTTGGTTCTAAACGGGTAGAGGACAAGGGGGCCAAAGGATGCTTAGAGGGAAAACTAAGGCAGCGTGTGTGATTTATAAGGTGACCAGGATGGACTTGCAAAGCCAGAATGCCATTTAAGAGATCACCCTTTTTGGTGTACAAAGCAGTTTTCTTTTTTGGACCTTTGTATTGTTTATTAGACATTGCTTAATAATATAAATCATAGAAGCAATTTTTATTTATTGAATTCCTGTCTGCCAAGACATGGCGGCTCTGCAGTTTGAGCCAGCGGGGCTTTAATTTTTGTTACTTGGGAATCAATTTGCCCTGTGGAAGGTGGGAAGGACTCGCAGATAGCGTGCACTCCACCCATGTGTCATGGTGCTCACGTTAGATAAAGAGTTGAAGAACTAGAATAGCTGCCCTGCCTGGTTACCTTAATGCCATCTCCACAAAAAGCTTTCTGGGGAGAGAGCTGGTCTTAGAATAGACATCAAAAGGAAAATGTAAAACTTTTAATTAATTTGCCTTTGGTTTTATATTACTTCTGCCTAAAGTATAGGGTTTTTTTCTTTTTTTTACTCTTTTTGACAACTGTAGATTAATAGATGATAACATTTGTGTTCTATTCTCTTAGTTATGTTTTTCATGTTTTGCAAGAATCTTAAAATATCTTGCTCTCGGCATTTTTACAAAAGAAATTTCAGTCCCCTTTATTCTTGAACTCGAGAATTCATTATAGTCCTTACCTGGAGCGGAAGCACTTCATATTTTTTAATCTTCATTTTACAGTGATTTTTGGGAAAGTCTTTACTATATCCTGGCTATTGTTTTCTTTATTTGAAACTTAAAAGGAAAATATATAGAAATGGATAAAGAGATCTGTTTGGTACAAGCTGTCTGTTATCGGGGGAAGGAAAAAATAATAAATGTCTAAATATGATTTTATTAAATTAAAATCTGGGATAGATCTAATTATAATTAGTAAGTAATTGCTCTAATTCATTTAATCTTCAGAAACTCTTCTTTTAAGCATTTTGTCCTAGGTACATTCATATTAGGTGGGAGTATGACTTCAAAGCTTTAAAATTGAGCATAGTTTTCTCCTCTTTGCTAAAAAATATGTTCTGTTCTTGTTCAGCTTATCTCCTTGAAAATCTGTTGAGCAGGCCTCCTTGCTGTATCTCTGAAAATATGGTAAACACTTTAGACTGCTCTGGTTCGTGGGCCTGTTGCCTTGTGCAAACTCAAGAGCCTTGATCCCACCGCTCAGATGACACAGTCTCGAGAGCAGCATGCTCGCAGTGCCTTGTTTTGAGCTCTTAAGCAAACTTTCCGCCCTCTCCTGAACTAACATTACAGTAATGGGCAGTGGTGCTGGTCCTCCAGCCACGCCCACAAGGTTTTTTCATCTCGTGATTCGTTTGCCTCTGGTAACTTATGCAAGTAATGCACAGGCCCAGCTCTTTTTTGCAAGTTGTGTGACTCGGCTTGTCAGTTATGCGACTGAGTCCTTCTGCATATGCACGTGCAATCTATATAAAATCCACCCCACTTTCCTTGTAGGTGCAATTGTGCTGCTTTTACTAGCACTTTCAGTGATCTTCCTCCCCACTTTTGCACTGTGGGGACATAATGTGGTTACTGATGTTTGTAAAATCCCTCAGAACGAAACTGACACGCAGCACGTGATGGCGGAGAAGGAGCAGTGCTGATACACATCTGCCCTAGAAGACCAGAGCTTACTTTCTAAATTTGTTCAGTATTCAGAATTACAGGAGAAAAATCAGTCAGGAGTAGCTGTTTAGATAAAAAAACTTTTTTGAAATGATAGAAATTTTCAGATATGTTAAATCCATTGTCCGGGGAACATCTTCCTCGGTTCTTAAGTTTTGGCAAATATATTGAATAATAGTATTTTGTGTTTGTAATGATTTTTGTCAGGTTTCCTTTTGGGGGAACTTGTTTTTTTTTTTTTTTCCCCCACCTCACATGATCATGCAGGGAGGATTAAAGTTATTGTTATTTCTCTCTGTTACATGTATAACCTTAAAAGCAAGTAGATATTTTGCAGGTTCCTTGAAATAAAGCCAATTATATCGGTATCACAGATTAAGAAAGTGACATAGAATGCATTTTCAGGGTCGTGTTGTCCCTGAGAACATAAATTGGAAGGAGTCTTACCTAATTCTTACTTCAAAACATGCTGACTTCTATGTGTTCATTTTCTAACCAGATGGATTTCATGAAATACCTATTTTATGTGAAAGAAGGATAATGTACTGCATTTATATTTTCAAAATCAGGATTTAAAAAATCTATCTGAATTGGCTGCTTTATAACTACTGTGGGTTAGAGGTACATTTTGAGGGGTAAGGGCAGGCAGAAGTCCTCAGTATACCCGAAGTTGAAAGCATATGTGCAGTGTATGCGATTTCTGTAATAACTACCCCAAATAATGTTGGACAGAATCTTCTTGGTAGTGAGTGATAACAAGTATGTAGTATGAAATATTAACTTTTGAAAAAAACTTTAAAACCTGTACTTTTTTTTTTGCGGTACGCGGGCCTCTCACTGTTGTGGCCTCTCCCGTTGCGGAGCACAGGCTCCGGACGCGCAGGCTCAGCGGCCATGGCTCACGGGCCCAGCCGCTCCGCGGCACTTGGGATCTTCCCATACTGGGGCACGAACCCGTGTCCCCTGCATCGGCAGGCGGACTCTCAACCACTGCGCCACCAGGGAAGCCCAAACCTATACATTTAAAACAAGCTGTGGTGGAATTTTTAATTAACTGAGAAAATTTCAGTACATTAATTCTATTTTTATGCAACCTGGATAGCTTTCTTTCCCCCTACAGATTTTATTTTTTACCATATACAATTTCTGTCTCTCTTTTCTCTCTTAAATTGTTTATTCTAGGTCAGTGGTTCTCAACCTCAGGGCAGTGTTCCCTGCCAGGGAACATTGAGCAATGTTTGGAGATATTTTTGGTTCTCATTAACTGAGAAGAAGGGGTGGGAGGTGCTGCTGCCAGCTGGTAGGTAGAGGCCAAGGTAGGATAACCTGTACAGGATAGCCCTCCACAGCAAAGAATTCTGCAGCCCAGGGTGTCAATATTGCCGACCCTGAGAAACCCTGGTCTAGGTGTTATATCTGAATAAGAGGCCTGAACCAAAATTCCATATTTCTAGTTATATTTGTTGTTTTCTGCTTAGATTTTGATAATTATTATACCAAGTCTGATAATTAACTCACCTTCCCTGTGAGTTAAAGGATAATGTGTAATTAAATATTATCTCATTATTTTATCCATTACTGAAAAAACAGCCAAAATATATTACCTCATCATGTTTTATGACAAATAAGATAGTTCATAAAGTTGCAAGAGATGGGTATTTTAAGACACCGAAGCTAATACATTCCTCTTGTATATGTGGTATATATAAGTGACAGTATGTATGTTAAATGAGTCGATACATGTGTAGCTCCATCACAGGGAGTTACCTCTACAGAGGAGGAGGGGAGAAGGTGGGGGGAGATAACGAACCAGAAATTTTGTCATGGCAGTCAGTGATCAAGACTTGGTTTTACTGCAAGGAGAAACTAACATATATGAATACCTGCTGTATCAGCCACCATAAGTACTTTATATATATGTTTTGTCATGTTTTAAAATCAGAGACCCATAAGGTAATTATCTCCATTTTATAGTTGCGAAACTGCAATTCAGAGAGGTTGAATGTGGCTGAGTCAGAATTAGAATGCAGGTCCCTTAATCCAAAGCCCTTGTTCTTTTCACTGTGTCATCCTGACTTCAAGGAGTGGTCTTAAAAATATTTTGTTCTCCTTAGCTTTTCCTTGAGGATGTTCTAGGTAGATTTCATAGAAAGCCAGTATCGTTGATTTTCTGAGAAATTGTGGTCTTTTCTAGTAACAAGATTAAAAGGATGAAGGCGAGCATCACTGTTAAAATGAGAGTCCTAATCCTTATTGATATGAATGGAAGTGGGTTAAATGCTATTAACTGCTGTGAATTGTTTCCTTCTCTTGCAGAAGGTGCCTAGTAGTGGACTTTGAACCAAAGCTCTAATATGATACTCTGCCTGTCATTGTGTAGATTGTGCTTTTGTCTTTCTGTGATATGAAATACACTTCATATGCTGTCTTTCGTCACCAGAATTCCTCCCTGTAAGGGTGTAAATGAGGAAACCCAAAAGGCTCTGGACCGCTCCCTTCTCGATTGCACTTTCCGATTACAAGGCAGAAATAACCGCACCTGGGTGGCAGAGTTAGTGTTTGCAAATTGTCCACTTAATGGCACTTCTACCAGGGAGCAAGGTGAGATGCTTCACACACTTTGTCTTTGCATATTTCTGGATTGTTTTTTGTATTGATTACTGTTAATCTTTTCTTTTAATCTGTAGGACCATCCCGGCATGTTTATCTGACATATGAAAACCTGTTGTCTGAACCTGTTGGTGGTAGAAAAGTGGTTGAAATGTTCCTTAATGACTGGAATAGCATTGCACGATTATATGAGTGTGTGTTGGAATTTGCACGTTCTCTACCAGGTACAAATGATAATCTTCCTTTGGTGCGGAGGGAGGGGGGAAGCATCCCCCACCGCACCACCGCCTTTTTTAACTGAGGAAGTGAAACATGCACATTGTAAAAAAAAAAAAAATCGTCAGTCTATCCCCCAGAGACAGCCACTGTGATGATTCGTATATATTGAGAAATTTTAACACACAGGTATACCAGATTATAATAATAGTGCTTATTGAGAGTTTACTGTGTGCCACACAATGTAATAAACGCTTGTATTAACTCATTCACTCCTCACAGTCACCCTATGAGGTAATTTATCATCCCTCATTTCGCAAATGAAGGAAACAAGTCACAGAGACTTAAGAAACTTGCTGAAGTTCAAGTAGCTAGCAAAGGGCAGAGCTGGAATTGGAACCCATAAACCACTATGCTATACTGCTTCAGTACATCTCTGCCCCTGCCCTGGCCCCCTTTTGTCGAAATGGAAATTGAAGCCTACTACCTATTTATTTATTTCTTATTATTACTATTGTCAACCAACTAAGTCAACTATTAGAACTACTTTCAGCTTTTCTTTTCTTTTTAAGAAATTTTTCTTTTCCTTTTTTAAATTTATTTTTGGCTGCGTTGGGTCTTCATTGCTGTGCGTGGGCTTTCTCTAGTTGCGGCGAGTGGGGGCTACTCTTCGTTGCAGTGCGCGGGCTCCTCGTTGCGGTGGCTTCTCTTGTTGTGGAGCACGGGCTCTAGGCGTGCAGGCTCAGTAGTTGTGGCTCGCAGGCTCTAGAGCGCAGGCTCAGTAGTTGTGGCTCGCAGGCTCTAGAGCGCAGGCTCAGTAGTTGTGGCGCATGGGCTTAGTGGCTCCGCGGCATGTGGGATCTTCCAGGACCAGGGCTCGAACCCGTGTCCCCTACGTTGGCAGGCGGATTCTTAACTGTTGCACCACCAGGGAAGCCCTACTACCTATTTATGCTGTTACTATCCTTTTTCCTTTCTTTTTTTTTTTTTTAAACTAAGTTATATATACAGAGACCTTTCTATCTAGGCATATACTATTGCCAAGATGCCCTCTTTTTCAAATATATATTTTAAAATTTCATATGTATAATCTTAAACTTTTTTGTTTTCTTTCTGTTTAGACATACCCACTCATCTAAACATTTTTTCAGAAGTTCGTGTTTATAATTACCGAAAACTTATCTTGTGTTATGGAACCACCAAGGGAAGTTCAGTAAGTCTATGAATTAATTAAAACTAAAGCTCCTCGGGGATGGGGTGGGGGGGGCGGGAGCGGGAGGAGCTGTGGGGGTTCCCGGCGGCGGCGGCGGCTGTGAGGAAGAGGCAGAGAAGCCGCCTGGCTGGTGGAGATGACTCCTGTGGGGGACTCGGGGTGGAATCCCCGGGAGGGGCTCCACCTCTTCAGACGGGGTGGGGATTGCCTGAGTGCGAAGCGTAGGCTTCCAGGGGTTCCCTGGACGGGTTAAACACTCCGTTTGTGGGGATTGGGGCGTTTTGGCAACGGTGAGTGGAGGTCAGAGGGGTTTCCAGGGGTCTCGGGGTGTCCACTTGGCGGGGTAGGGGGCTGGGGTGCACAAAAAAACCCAAAAAAACTAAAGTTCCTCTCATATATCTTTAAAAACTCAAGAATTCAAAAATTATGAAGACTTTCCTGAAATAATTGAGGGTTCAAGTAAAAACTAGGGATAAAATGGTAAATTTTAAATACTTTGTTGATAAAAAATATAATGCTTAACTCTTTAAAATTGAAAACAAAAACTATACCCTCTTTGGAGTGTGTATTCTTGAAGAGTTTGGGGCAAGGTAATATACTTTTGGTATTTATGGGGTTTTTTTTCTTCACTGATTTCAAATCTGCTTAGCAGCGTGATTACTGTAATGAAGATTATGTATGAATGGTCTTGAACAGTGTGGTATGTCTGTGCTTTTAGTCACATGGTTGTTAATATTATCTGATCCTGTATTAATCTTGAAGGTATTCCCCATAATCTGTAGTTTCTTTTTTTTTTCCCCCACCCCATATGTAAAGTCCTAGAAATTTAGTATATAAATTCATCCAGCTAGCTTCTTTTGTGGACTCTTCCACATAAAGTAATACCAGAAATTACTTGAGTGTTTTAAAATCTGTTAACTGAAGGCGGCATCTGTTGGGGCTGGCTTCCTTTTCCCTTTAATACGGTACTCACCTAGGGGGTGACTCTTATTCCGTTCAAGAGAAAATGGAAAAATAAGAAACAATGACAATTTTCAAATAAAGTTTAATCAAAATTTTTTTCTTTAGCACCTTCTCTTTCTGTTTTATTTAGTAGAGGTGGGCTGTCTAACACACACATACTCAGTGAATGTCCATAGGGACAGCACATCTGGAGTTTACAGGGTCTTATGAGTTGCTTCCAAACAAGACCGCATTTAGATCTTTGACATTTTGCCTTACTGTTTAAACATTATTTTTTCTTCTGATTGACTCTGTTCCTTTCTCGGTTTCTGAAACATGTAATCTCTTTGATTTAGATTAGTATCCAGTGGAATTCCATACATCAGAAATTTCACATTTCTTTGGGAACTGTTGGTCCAAACTCAGGATGCAGTAACTGTCACAATACTATTCTCCATCAGCTTCAAGAAATGTTCAACAAAACACCAAATGTGGTTCAGTTATTACAGGTAATTAAGTTCATTTTCTATTTAAAAATAAGACTCAGTCAGTGTTAGTGTCTCGTGTAAAACTCCTCAAAAAATCATGTGGACTTGGGGGCTTCCCTGGTGGCGCAGTGGTTGAGAATCTGCCTGCTAATGCAGGGGACACGGGTTCGAGCCCTGGTCTGGGAGGATCCCACATGCCGCAGAGCAACTGGGCCCGTGAGCCACAACTACTGAGCCTGCGCAGCTGGAGGCTGTGCTCTGCAACAAGAGAGGCCATGACAGTGGGAGGCCCGCATACTGAGATGAAGAGTGGCCCCCGCTTGCCACAACTAGAGAAAGCCCTTGCACAGAAACGAAGACCCGACACAGCCAAAAATAAATAAATTAATTAATTAAAGTACCCTTAATTAAAAAAATCATGTGGACTTAATTTGTCTTTAACGACGCAAGTTTTTATGGAATGTGCCTGAAGGACACTGTCTCATTTGTGACGATTTTACGTTGAAAATTCTGAGGTTTTAGCAGAAACTGGATGCTCTCACTGCATTTGTTCCTTGTAGGTACTGTTTGATACTCAGGCTCCATTGAATGCCATCAACAAACTGCCCACTGTGCCGATGTTGGGCTTGACCCAGAGAACCAACACTGCCTACCAGTGCTTCTCCATCCTGCCGCAGTCGTCCACCCACATCAGACTGGCCTTCAGGAACATGTATTGCATTGATATATACTGCCGGAGTCGAGGCGTTGTGGCAATACGCGATGGGGCCTATAGTCTTTTTGATAATAGCAAGTTAGTTGAAGGTTTTTATCCTGCACCAGGACTCAAGGTAATGGACTTTAGTGTTTACAGCATTAGTAAACATAAATGTGATCTCTAAAACAATTCCTTCGAGGGGGAAAAAGCGGGGGGGAAAAGCAACAAATTCCTGTTTAAATTTAATGAGTAGCCATGTTAATTCATCATCTCTGCAACTTCATTCTGAAGGAGCTAGAACTTCTGGTAAAGTGCTATGCCTAGGTATATGAAATGATAAGATGTCCTTCCTTTTATTTCCTTACCGTGTAATGAGTGAAGATACTAAAGAGAGTCCTATTTGCTCTTTGGAGCTTCAAGGAACTTTAAAAGTAGTCTTTATCAGTGAATATTGAAAAGCTCTGTTCATCAGTTCAGCTGTGATACTTGTTTTAAAATGTAGGGTCTTGGGCCACAACCCCTGGAGATTTTGGTATGACAGCTCAGTTGTATGTTCTTATAGTTTAGAGTCAAATAGTTCCAAATGGCCTGTTTTGAAAATTAGTCCCAGTCTTGCCAGTTTCCTACTCTGTTTTCAACTCTTAATACAGTATAGCTCATTCTCTTGGTATTTACATCCTTACCTCTAAATAGCATGCTTTCATTGCTCTTTGCTGACTTCTTAGTTGAGGGCGTTATCTAACTCTCAGAATGGAAGATGAGGATTTAATTCTTTTTCAGTTCTTTCTTATATGCCCCTTCCCCTTTTCAGGCTGCTCCCAGTACCGATTCATCTTCTTTCTTTCCTCCAACCTTGTGACATGGTTAGGTAGCAATTTAGGTAATTTTTCAGTGTTCACATTATTATGAGTATTTAACACTATTCTACCAAGCTTACTATGATTACTTTTCCTTTCTTGCTCAGCATTTATTTTCCTGGGAACTGTTAATTAACTTTTTTGTTTCTTAGCTCTCTCTGTACTTATCACTAACTCAACCTTAAAGTCTCCCATATATGTAACTCTCCCCTCAGTACGTTCACAAATCAGATACCTTACCAGTTTCATCTTGAAGACATCACTTCCACAGTCCTCTGAACTCCAGTCTGGAATGGTAGCGCTCCAGACCTTTTGCCCAGTTTTGATTTAGGAATCTGCAGAAGGGTGGTGAAGCAGGAGATTCCTTCATTTCTCTCCCGTGTTGCATGCCCTGTGGCTTGGACCCCACGTCTTGTTCTTGGTTTAACTTCATTGTTTTGGTGGAATACTTCCTATGTAGCTCCCTGGGAGAAGATACACGGGAGGTTAATTTGAGACCTTGTATGTCGGAAAGCATCTTTAGTTTAGCGTCATCTAGTTGAGAGAGCGGCTAGGTGTAGAATTCTAGATTGCAGTCATTTTCTGTAAGAATTTTGAAGGCATTGCTCCATTGTGCCCTAGCTTCTGTTGTGACCATTGAGACATTTCATCCTGTTCCAGTTCTTGAACCTTATGTGACTAAGTGGACTCTTTCAGTCTGGAAACTTACATCCTTTTGTTGTGGGGAATTTCCTTGTGCTCTTCCTCGAGTCTTTCCCTTTGTGTTCACTGTTAGCTCTTTCTGCTACCCCTGCTATTCTGAAGTTGGGCATCCTGGACTTATCCTCTAATTTTCTTATCTTTTCTGTTTTTTATCTCTTTGTTTCTGGGAGATTTCCTTTTTTTGTTTTTTCTCCAATCCTTCTATTTTTCATTTCCATCAAGAATTTTTTTTTTTTGCCGTCTTTTAAAAAATTTCCGAGAGCTCTTTTTGATTCTGAAAGTTCATTTTATGACGTCCTGTTCTATATGGCTGCATTATCTTCTCTTACCTCTTCCTACATAATCTCCATTTCATCCACCTTTTTTTGTTTTCATCTCTTTCATATTAGTAGTTTTCAAATATTAAGTGATTCTTAACTCTGTGCTTTTATTTAAAGGTGACACTTGCTGACTGTAATCTTCACTGCAGGATGATCTGCTTGGGCCATTTCATTGGGTAACTCCCAATGTCAGTAGCTTCAGGTCTTTTTGTTGGGCCAGTGTGAGTACCAAGAGAAGAGTATCAAGACTCTGCATAGCCGTTGTGCATCTGGCTCCCAATATTTGGCAAGTCAAATAAGAGAAGGAAACTAGTATTCTCAGCATTCAGTATGTAAACTTTAATCTCTATTTTTAGTATGGTACCCCTGCTGTCAATTGATCCTAGAGTCCCCCCCCTGCCCCCAGTCAGAGACCTTCCACCTGGGTGGTAAAGGTCAGCCTAACTCAGTGGGAGTGCCAGAGGCTCTGGAGGGTTTCACTGCTGTCTTTAAGACGTTTCACCCAGTCCTCTGCTCTTAGCCTGTTTCATTTCCATTTCCAGGGGTATCTGATGCTGCCAGTTCCTGTGTATCTTGGAGATCTGGATGGAAATAGCTTTGCTTCTTGGCTTTCCCCACTGCTTGCTTAAGAAGAAACTTCCTCACATCAGATAGCTCAGTTACCACTCAACCATCTGCTCTGCAACCTCCTAGAATTTATTGCTATTTCTCTCTTAATCCCATTCTTTTTGTCTTTGTGACTTACTGCTTAAAAAAGTTTTTTTAGGAGCTTCAGTGGGGTGTTGAGAGAAGATGAAATGTGTGTTGTGAATAATCTATTATCTTTAATTAGAAATCAGACTTCGTACCTTTAAAAGCTTTTCAGTAATTCTGATAAGCTTGTAATCTATATTTTTGAAGATTGGGAAGGTGGAGCGTATTAAAGAGAATCTGGGACTTCCCTGGTGGTGCAGTGGTTAAGAATCTGCCTGCCAATGCAGGGGACACGGGTCCAAGCCCTGGTCCAGGAAGATCCCACATGCCGTGGAGCAGCTAAGCCCATGCGCCACAACTAATGAGCCTGCACTCTAAAGCCCGCAACCCACAACTACTGAGCTCACTTGCCACAACTACTGAAGCCTGTGCACCTAGAGCCTGTGCTCCACAACAAGAGAAGCCACCGCAATGAGGAGCCCGCGCACCGCAACGAAGAGTAGTCCCCACTCACCGCAACTAGAGAAAGCCTGCACGCAGCAACAAAGACCCGACGCAGCCAAAAATAAATACATAAATAAATGAAATTTATATTAAAAAGAAAAGAGGGGCTTCCCTGGTGGCGCAGTGGTTGAGAGTCCGCCTGCCGATGCAGGGGACACGGGTTCGTGCCCCGGTCCGGGAAGATCCCACATGCCGCGGAGCGGCTGGGCCCGTGAGCCATGGCCGCTGGGCAAAAAAAAAAAAAAAAAAAAAAAAAAAGAGAGAATCTGTTCTTGAGACACAAATTCTGGTAGCCTTGCTTAATTTTAGATGACATAACCTATAAAACAAGACTGTCCCCCTCTTGATGTTTAAGATTAAGTCACATAAAATAAAAAGGGAAAAGGTGGCTTAGTTTCTTTATTCAGTTTTCCTCTTTCATATTTTCTGGCTTAAAAAGTGAGAACTCTCACTAAATAGGACGTTTTCCAAGTCATTGAAGTTACTTATATGCCTACCATACAACTTTTTATTCTTTTCCACGTTTTTGATTCAGAAATTAATAAGAAAATATTTTGGCCAGGGTGAACTTCTTTCTTCAACTTTTTGCTCACATAATAACATTTTAACTTAGATGTTATTTTTATTGTTGTGTTTAACTTTTCCTCAATTTTCCCCCTTCCTGCGAATTGATCACTCTCTCTTCTAGGTTGGCCTAACAATAGTGGCCATGTGTCAAACTTATATTTCAGATAATGGACATAATATGTTTGTTTCTGTTAACACATTCTCAGTGATTAAGAATATCTTACTAAAGTTAGGTAAAATAATCTAAATTTTACCTGTTTATATCCATAGACATTCCTGAATATGTTTGTTGACAGCAATCAGGATGCTCGAAGAAGGTCTATAAATGAGGATGATAATCCCCCTTCTCCCATTGGAGGAGATATGATGGATTCTTTAATCTCACAACTCCAGCCACCGCCCCAGCAACAGGTGATGTCTAGCTGACATTCCAAATGGTGTCATATTTGTGTTACTTAACAGGTTCCATAGGTGGCTCTGCTTCTTTGCTGAAAGGCAAGGAGGTCCTTGGTGGACCCGAGATGCCCAAGAAATTCATATGAAGAAATAGTGACAGAGGGAGACAGGAGGAGGCTTCTAGTGATGGGAAGTAAATAGTACCAGAAACAGCATTAACTTCAGACTCCCGCACTTAAAATAATGTCAGGTGATCACCCATGTGGTCACAAAAGATGATGTCCAAATGGCCAGTAAGCACAGAAAAGGTGAACAGTGTCATCTGGCGTCACAGAATTATACATTAAAGCCACAGTGAGATAATACCCCATACCCACAGAAATGTCTTTAAGGAAAAAAAAAATTGATAGTCCTTGCCAAGATTTGGTATTAGGACCATCTGAAACTCTCCTTTACTACTGGAAGGTGTGTAAAATGGTACAGCTACCTTGCAGTGGTGTTTAGCATTATTCCAGAGTGCTAAGGCTGGACATTATGCATGCCTATGATTTAACAGTTCTACTTTGGGTATATATGCAACAGAAATGCAGCCAAAAAACACAGGAATGTTCATAGCAGCATTATTTATGCAAAAAATCGTAAACAACCCAAATATCCGGCAACAGTAGAATGAGTGAGTAAACTGGGATATATTCATACAGTGGAATACTTTACAGAAATGAAAAAAGCTATTGCTACATGCAACGAAATGATGAATTTCACTGACATAATGTTGAACAAAAGAAGCCAGACACTAATGAGTACATTCAGTATTTATATGAGATGCAGAAAACAGGCAAAACCAAGCTTGAGTGATGGAAGTCAGAGTTTGGCGAGGCAGGCGATAGAGACTTGGAAGGTGGGTGAGGGAGGCCTCTGGGGTTCTGGTAATGTCCTTCAGTATCTTGATCTATGTGTCAGTTACATTTATAGAAACTCATCAGACTGTACATTTAAGAGTCGTGTGCTTTACTGTATGTGATTCATACCTCAAGTTAAAAAAATAGACTAGGAAGAATTACATTGTCATTACTAGAGATGAAGGTGAAGGTGAGTAGAGATCAGGCTGAACTACCATATTTCACTGACTCTAAAACTCCACCAAATGCATTGTTTTTATGTACTGCCCGAAACAACACTGCCATTTCAACTACGACGTGCCATGAATTGGAAGACACACACTGATTTCAGAGATGTTAAAATATGGGGAAAGTTTATCTTAGAATCAGTCAAATGGTAGATAAATAATATAGGTAAGTCAGTTATATGGTCGATAAAATGAGCAAAAAAACATCTTGGGGGCTCTAAGCAGTGGTAGTGCAAGGTCAGGAATGAGAATGTTGCTATTTTTAAAACATTTTGAAAGGAAGTTTTTTAAAACTTGCATTATTGATGTGAATTTTGGGCATTTTCATACCTCACCTTTCCTATTTGGTAACCAGTGATGTGTGTAAATGTTAACACTGTAGCTCTTTATTGGGGAAAGCCACACTCACATAATCTGCATGGTTGGCCATTTTACCAACATGGAATTTTCTTCTTTTCAGCCATTTCCAAAGCAGCCAGGATCGTCAGGCGCTTATCCTCTAACTTCGCCCCCTACATCTTATCACAGCACAGTTAACCAGTCTCCCTCTATGATGCACACACAGTCTCCAGGTAAGATATTACTTATTCTCTTGTTGTGTTCAACTTTCAGATCCAAAATAGACACACACATACACACACGCACACACACCGTGAGAAATACTACAGATGTAGCCTTAGATGTCAGAGGGAACTGCTTTGCTAGTCCGTGGCTAGATATTTGCCATTCATTCATCATGGCAGGGTTGTGAAATCTGTGTTCATGATTCAGGAGCACTTTTAAAAGGTTTGAGTTAAGTGGAGCTGTTGTCACCCAGAGCCAGACTCATGGCGCAACTCCAAGAATCACAACATGATCTATGTCAGAGGTCGACACACTAAGGCCTGTGGGCCACATCCTGTCCACCACCTGGTTTTGTAAATAGTTTCATCGGAACACAGCCACATCCATTTATGTAGTGTCTGTGGCTGCTTTCCCGCTACGACGACCCGTTTCAGAAAAGCCCCCTTACAGAAGGAGTTGGCAGAGCCCAGGTGTATGTGAACAGTGCCCCACCTCAGAGTCAGGCAGGCCACAACCTGCTTGTCTGAACAAGATGGCTCTGTTGGCGACCCCATGAAGTGCGCTGTAAAAGCTGCTGGAGAGGGACTTCCCTGGCAGTCCAGTGGCTTAGACTTCACCTTCCAATGCAGGAAAGTGCAGGTTCGATCCCTGGTCGGGGAGCTAAGATCCCACATGCCTCGCGGTCAAAAAACCAACGTATAAAACAGAAGCAATATTGTAACAAGTTCAATGAAGACTTTAAAAATGGTCCACGTCAAAAGAAAAATCTTTAAAAGAAAAATTGCGGGAGAATGCCAAATTTTGACTTTTAACAGAACAATTAATTCGTTGGTTTGTCTTAAGTGCTTGCTCTGTGTCTAATGCTGCACGGTGCTGGGGATTCAGCAGTGAGCCCGATAGCAGTCCTGCTTCTCGAGCTTACCTTCTAGCAAGGAGCACTGGTATCGGATTTTTAGGGTAGATGAGCCCTTCCCTGCTCATCAGAGATGGTGGGACCCCAGGTGAAGACTTGGAAGTCATTGTCGTGTCATTGAAGGCCCCTGAACACTGAGCTGGTGGGAGACTCAGACCCTGTGAAGCTCCGACAGTAGACAGTGTGGGAGCCTGAGGAGGAGCAGCTGGGGAGCAAGGGGGAGAACGGGAAGTGGGGTCCCAGCACCCGAGGGGAGGGAGCTTCTAGGATGTGGGTTGAGACTGGTTTCGTATAGAAGGAAGGAGAGATGATTATTTTGAAATAATTTTAGTAGCAGACAGGTATATAGTGCTTCCTGTGTGCCAAGCCCTATTCTAAGCACTTTACCCGTTTAAGCCCTAGGCATTAAACAGGTAATGCCTAGGGATTAAACGGCTAAACGAATACCGAGGCATGGAGAAGTTAAGTCACTAGTCCAGATCACACAGCTAAATATAATACTTAAAGGTTAATCAAGTTGGTTAACATTTATTGAATATCAGTATGTTAATATTGAATTCATACTGTATTGAATTAGTACTGCATTAGGTATTAATAGAACATTAAAAATATGAAATTCTCTTACATAGTAGAGAATTTGAAAGCTGCTGGTATTGAGGATAGTCATGGTAATGTAGCAAGTATTTTAATGTTGCACTGATAGTTTTGATAGCCATAGTCCCCACCCTTCATCATCCTAAATTAAAGCTAGTCCTGTGGCTAAATACCATCTTTAAGCTCATGTCTCCGAGTTTTTTATAGCTCCATCTAGGCCTCTCCCCCAAACTCGAGTCCTGTCTTTTCCAGCTAACTATTCAGCATTTCTATGTAGATGTTTAGTCAACATCTGAAACTCAGCATGGCTGAAACTAAATTCCTCACCCCCCCAGCCCTGCCCTGTGCTGCTTCTCCTATAGACACTGCATCTCAGCAAGTGGCAGCTTCTCCCTTCCTTCCTGGTACTTGGGCCAAAGCTCTAGGAGTCATGTTGGACTCATCTTTCTCTCACACCCACAGTCAGTCAGTTACCGAATATTGTCAGCTCCATCTTCAGAATTTATCCAGAATCTAACCACTTTCACCATCTCAAGCCTTCACCCTTTCCCAAGTCATTAGCCATCTCTCACCTGGGTAATTGCAGTTGCCTCTAACTGGTTTCGCTGCCTCCTGCCCTATAGTCTGTTTTTCAACAGCAGCCAGAGTGATCCTTCTGGAACAGAAGTTAGGTCATGACTCCTCTGCTCCAGACTCTGCAGTGGCCTCCCATCTCATTCAGGGTAAACCCTAAGTCCTTAGAGTGGCCTACAAGTCCCTTGTGATCTGGGACCCGCCTCCCACCTCTCTGACCTAATCGTCTTCCGTTCCCCCCTCCCTGCCTTGCTCACGCTGTTCCAGCCACACTGGCCTCCCCCTGTTATTTATAACCGCTGCTACCATTGGGGCCTTTGCACTAGCTCTTCTGATCCTTCACTTCATGTCTCAGCCCACATAGCCCCTTCTCAGAGAGGTCTCTGGTTGCTCTATATAAAGAACAGCACCTACCTCCACCACTACACGATATAGCCCTCTTACCTTGCCCTGTTTTTCTCCATAGCACTTAGCATAACCTGACATATATTTGTTTGTCTTTCTCATTATACTAGAATATAAACTCCATGAGGGCAGGATTTTTTGTCTCTTGTTAACTGCTGCATCCCCAGTACCTACAACAATGCTTGGCATGAAATTGATGTTCATGCCTACTTGTTGAATGAGTGAGTGAGTGGATAAAAAAGTACACTGGATTTTTTTTTAAACATCAGTCAATATAAGAGCTAGAATTTGGGCCCCATGGAATTGATGTCTCTCTTTTTCCATACTGAAATTGTTCCAGTTTTTCTTTGTGCTACTCATGGGAGCTTTAGCTACTTGTTTCTTTAGTCTGTAGAGAGTCTTAACTCGGGGTCCTTGGACAGGACATAATATGTGTCCTGCAAGATCATCTATAATTATTTTCCTTTATTAGGAAATCTGCATGCCGCCAGCTCCCCCAGTGGGGCTTTGAGAGCCCCATCACCAGCATCATTTGTTCCAACTCCTCCCCCTTCCTCGCATGGAATCTCAATAGGACCAGGGGCCAGTTTTGCTAGTCCACATGGTGAGTCCATACCGGAAATCGCTAGAGCATAAGAGTTTGATGTGAAAGTAGTTTTTGTTAAATAAATTTTCTTTTTGCAAAATTAGCACTTGTGTATTGGGGAAATAGCGAAAGAAAGTACGTTTTTCCTGGGAATTCCCTGGTGGTCCAGTGGTTAGGACTCGGCGCTTCCACTGCAGGGGGCCCGGGTTCGGAACTAAGATCCCACGTGCCGCGGCCAAAAATAAGAATACGTTTTTCCTAATCACACAACGAAGAGATCTACCAGTTAGTCTGTCTGCTTCGCACTCTCCCCGCCTCACTCGGCCTGTCACGCACCCCCGCTTGCCTGCCCGCCCGCCCAAATCTCTGTTGCTGTATCTTGCTCTCTACCCATCTTCTTCTCTCCCCTTAAACACCACCCCCCACACACACAAAATTGGGACCCTACCATATGTATTGTTTTGAGACTTGAATTTTTTAACTCAAAAATTCGATTTTGAATTTGTTCACAAAGGGAAAGAAAAGAAGAGGTAGCCAGTGAGGTGTTTCCTTTCGAGTCCACCAACCACCTAGTTCTTCCTCCCGAAGGCATTTAGTGCTACTGATTTCTCGTGCATTCTTGGAGGGATGTCTCATGCGGGTTGTTCTTCCCCCTCTCTTTTACACACATGGCAGCATACTGCACACCGTATTCGGTGCCTTACATTCGTCACTTAACTGTATCATGAATCCCGTGCCAAATCTGGACATAAAGAGCTTCCTCAGGTTTTACAGCTGTGTAGCATCTGTGATTTTCCTCTTTACTATTAATATTTGCAGGAATATTTCTGTCAGTAAAAACTACATCATCATACTAAATGGCTTCAGAGTATCCCCTTGTCTGGGCATACCATGATTTAACCGTTCTCTTATTACGATACGTTTAGAATGTTTCTATTTTTTCACAACTGAAAATGGTGTCTTCTCTGCTCACAGGATTATTTTCTTAGGTAAGTTCCTAGAAGTGGAATTGCTGTCTCAAAGGGTTTGAGAAATTCTAAAGCTTTTGAAACATACTGCAAATTGCTCACCTAAAAGGCTGTACCAATTTCCTCTAGTATTGTACAAGAATGTCTGTTTTCCTGCATCATTGCCAACAAGGGGTATTGTGATTTTTTAAAATCTTGGTCATTTTGATAGGTAAAAAATGGCATATTACTGTTCGATGTGTGGTTTTTTGATTATTAGTGAAGTTGAACTTTTTTTTATGTTCATTAGCCTTTCGTGTTTCTTATTTTACACCTGCCAGTTTATATCCTTTGCCTATATTCTTGTGTTTTTTCTTACCGATTTGTAAGATTTCTAAGTAAGGAACATTTATTCTCTGATACATGGTAGAAGTATTTTCTCATTTTGTCATTTGGTTACAAAGAGGTGTAAATAAGTTAAAAGTATCTGCAGGATGAAATTTAAATATCAGATTGTTCAGGAGGTCACTGCTTTCAAAATTTGATTCTTGGTGCATTTCTTAGTCACTGTACCCTTTACTAAATAAAGAAAATGGAAAATTCCCTCTCTTCAGCCTTCTCTGAGTAGAATGAAAACATAATTTGTCGGGGTTAGTTTAAAAATGTAAGATTTCTACCCTTAAAGGAGCTTTGAGATTTTTTTGCTTAATATTTTCAAACACAGTGTTTGTTATATAGTGTAAAGTAGATTGTTACATATTACACATCTGGAAGCTTGTGTAAAGGTAAATTTTATCCTTTCTCAGTATTTTTTTATCTTCCTAATTTTTTTATCATGTTCAAAAGTACAAAAACTACACCAAATAGAGATTCAAATGTGCCATGTGCGTCAGGCTTCAGTGAAATATCTTACTGAAAGACAAAATAAAATATCACCACGTGGGGTTTAAGCATTTGAATGTTGTCAGCTATTTAATAGCTTTTCAGCTATTAAAATACAGGTTTTGAAAACCATTTGTTTACTTGTTTACAGGAACCCTGGACCCTAGTTCTCCATACACTATGGTGTCACCAAGTGGACGAGCAGGGAACTGGCCAGGGTCTCCTCAAGTGTCTGGCCCCTCACCAGCAACACGCATGCCTGGGATGTCACCAGCCAACCCATCACTACATTCTCCAGTTCCAGATGCTTCTCATTCCCCTCGAGCTGGAACAAGTGAGTGTCATCGACACTTTTATGTTAGCTTTTAGAATAACATAAATGACCTGTTTTAATCATTCTATCCTCATCCTCACATTTGAAAGTCATGACTTAATAATGATACTCAATAACTTAAACTTTTATCCATTTAGTAATGGTTGTAACAGTAGTTAAATTTGTAAAAGTCGGGCAAAATGTAAGAAAGGAGAATGTCTCCTCCAGAAGTCTTCTGAGGTGAATCCTGTACCTCTGTTATGACTGCTAACTTAGCTGCACTACTAGACCTTAAAAGATACCTAAAGGTAACTGACAAGGTTATGCAAATTAACACAGAAAAGAAGAATTGTACACATATGTTCATTAGCTTTTGCCATGTGACTTTTAGTGGCTTAAAACAACAATCATATGTTCGCTCGCTGTTCTGCAGATTGGCAATTTGGGCTGAGCCCAGCTGGGTGATTCTTCCAGGCTCTGCTGGGCTCACTCATGCATCTGTGGTCAGCTCCTGGGTTGGCTGGGGCCTGGCTTCTCTCTGCTTCTTGTGGTCTCATACTTGACCATGGGCTTGCTCACCTGGGGCTAGACAGAATTCCAAGAGAGTCAGTAAGAGCCTAGGCCTGCAGCTGGCACTGTGTCATTTCCACTGCATTCTGTAGGCCACAGCAAGTCACAAGGCCAGCCCAGATCCCAAGTAAAGAAGTAGACCCCACTCCTTGAAGGAACTGCTGCAAAGTCACACTGCAAGGGACCTGGCTGCAGGGAGGAGAATAACTGTAAGGAAACTGATACGTGATTGTTAACACCACAGGGAGTAACAGAAACAGTATCGATTGCTATAGAAAAGTAAAGGTGTTTAATAAAAGCAAAACAGGGAACAACGAGATTGTGTGTATTTGTAAAAAAAATAAATGACGTTTTCCTTCCCAAAAGGTTCCCAAACGATGCCCACAAACATGCCTCCGCCTCGTAAACTACCTCAGCGCTCCTGGGCGGCCTCCATCCCTACCATCCTCACTCACAGTGCCTTGAATATTTTACTGCTGCCCTCTCCAACGCCAGGCCTCGTGCCCGGCCTAGCAGGTAGTTACCTTTGTTCTCCGCTTGAGAGATTCCTTGGATCCGTCATCATGAGACGACACCTTCAAAGAATTATTCAACAAGAAACGGTATGTGAGGGCTTCCCTGGTGGCGCGGTGGTTGAGAGTCCGCCTGCCGATGCAGGGGACGCGGGTTCGTGCCCCGGTCTGGGAGGATCCCACATGCCGCGGAGCGGCGGGGCCCGTGAGCCATGGCCGCTGAGCCTGCACGTCTGGAGCCTGTTGCTCTGCAGCGGGAGGGGCCACAGCAGTGAGAGGCCCGCGTACCGCAAAAATAAATAAATAAATAAAAGGCCTTTTAAAAAAAAAAAAAAAGAAACGGTATGTGGGTACCTGCTGAATTCCTAAGTGGTGATTGTCAAAGCAGGTGCTAAGTTGCTTCCTAGAGTAGGATCTGAACTGAAGTGCTATTCCCTCACCTCCTTTAACCAGCCTGTTAGAATTATGTTTTGCCCTCCACCTTAGCATTAAAAATGGATCCACTGTTTTCTTTTCCATTCTTACATTAACGAATTCCTTCACTTATAATTTGCCATATACTGTGGCTATCATGGACCTGGAGATAGGTCCCCACGGTACCGTAGAACAAGTGCACCCGGGATCTGGCTCGGTAGAGAATAGCATGAGTAACTATTTGCCCTCTGGAATGCTTCTGCAGGCAGGCTGAATCTGAATCTGTGATCAGAAAATTATTTATGATCGCAAGGATGAAAGCTACTTTTTAAATACATGAGCAATTGGGGATTTCCATGGCGGTCCAGTGGCTAAGACGTGCTTCCAGTGCACAGGGCCTGGGTTCAATCCCTAGTCAGGGAACTAGATCCTACATGCCGCAACTAAGACCCGGCACAGCCAGAATAAATAAATATTTTTTAAAAAACACATGAGCAACTGAATTGATTTAAAACTCTTATAGAAAAAGACTTCTATCCTGTGGTGATACCCTTAGGAGACAGTTCAGAGTTGAGAGCACCAGCTCTATAGTCAGGCTACCCCAGTTTGTAGCCAGGCCATGCCACTGGCTGGTACGAGCTTTGGCACATTTCTTCACCTTTTTGATAATAGTAGATAGTAGTATCTACCTAACTCAGAACAGTTGTGGAAGTTTGAGATAACTTCATATAAAACCTTTACATAATGTTTTGGTATTCAGTTACATATTATTTGTAATAATTATTATTGATATTTATGTTAATGAGGTAGTCAGAATAGCGAATGTTTAAAATAGCCTCACCACAGATGGCACCAAGCTATTTTGCAACCTTTATATTCAAATTTGAAAGAAAGAAAAGTTTTAACATAAGTTGAAATAAGTTAGCGTTCAAAAGTAATCATCAGACCTGTGATCTAGCCTCACCTCTGCCACTTAAAAGCCATGTAAGCTTTCAGCCCTTTGAACCTCATTTTGCTCATCTGCATAATCAGCATATTAGGCTGGAGCAGAGGTCAGTAAGCTATGTGCCTGGAGGCCAAGTCCTGCCCTCCACCTGTTTTTATAAAGTTTCATTGGAACACAGCCACACGCATTCAATTGCGTATTGTCTATGGGTGGTTGCAGCAGAGACCATAGAACCTAAAATATTTACCAACCCCTGGACTAGCATATCGTCCCAGTCCAGATCTAACATTTTGTAACTGAACTCTTTATTCTTTTTTCCTACTGGATCTTCTTTTACAAACTTATTGTGGACAATTTTAAGCATATACAAAAGTAGAGAGAATTGTATAATAAACCTGTCTGTTCTTATCACCCACCTTCAACAGTGAACTCACACTAATATTGTTTCATCTATAACTCCTCCTCCCAGATTGTTTGGCAGCAAATTCCTGACGTCATTTCATCCATAGTTTCTTTATCATCAGATTTCTAATTGGTGTCCAGATTTCCCAAGTTGTCACAGGTTTTACCATCTGAATCAAAATCCATACATGTTCTTAAGTCCTTTCTGAACAATAGTTTCCCCCTCCATTTCTCATTAGATAATGTATTTGTTGAAGAAGCCATATCATTTGTCCTGTGGAGTTTCTCACAGTCTGAATCTTGCTGATCGCATCCCTTTGGAATCATCTAACATGTTCTTTTGACCTCCATATTTCTGTAATATTGATCAACCCTGTGGATCTGACTACTGAATTCAGGCTCAAGTTGGTTGTGGTTTTGATAGGTGTGGTGTTATGTTCTTCCATCAAGAGACACATAATGTCTGATTGCCATATGGTTAGCAATTGCTGGTGCCCCAGTGTCTAGATACCTTTTTGTGGAAAAGGTATCAACTTAGTTGTTTTCCTTTTGAAACATTTCTCTAGTTAACATTTCCATTTTCCCTTTGACTTACATATTATTTCACATGTTAATTTGATGCATGTTTCTTGTTTTTCAGCTACAGCTGATAAATTCCAATGAACCTGGAGTGATCATGTTTAAGACTGATGCGCTGAAATGCAGAGTAGCCCTTAGTCCCAAAACCAACCAAACACTTCAGCTAAAAGTGACACCCGAAAATGCAGGACAGTGGAAACCTGATGAACTTCAAGTTTTAGAGAAATTCTTTGAAACAAGAGTATGTGTTTCTTAATGCATAATTTTAATACAGTCAGTGAAACAGAGGAGTCAAGGTAGAATGAAGAGTAACTTAACTTGCTTTATTTATCCTTGTAGGTTGCAGGACCGCCATTTAAAGCCAATACATTAATAGCTTTCACCAAGCTGTTAGGAGCTCCTACACACATCCTCAGGGACTGTGTGCATATTATGAAGCTAGAGTTGGTAAGTTACAGTGACACACAGACTTTTCTAGCCAGGTCGATCTGAGGAGGTTGGAGTTGGTGGGAACAGTATATGTTGGTTTTCACCCATTTATGTTATGTACTTCATTTTTCTCTTGTGTCCTTAATTTTTAACTTAAATTTTATTTGTCTTTGGATAGGTAACACAATCCTCTTACATCTTTTGAATTTAGAACAAGGTGATACAGTGGGAAATTTCACATCCATCCCTATCCAGCCATCTAGTCCTCCTCCCCACAGGCAATCCAAGTTATCAGTGGCTTCTCTCTTATACAAAGATACATTTAATATACTCTTCCTATTCCCAGATCATGAAATAATCCTCCCGTGGCTTCTCCTAATACTGTTACGGAATCATTTTGTAAACAACTTATATATTTGATCCATTTAAAATATATCTTGGGGTCAAATGGTGAGGTATGGGTCCAGTTTTTTCAGATGCCCCCAACTGCCCTAATACCATTTATTGAAAAATCTGTCCTTTCTGTGGAGATTTTTTTTTTTTTTTTTTTTTTACATCTTTACTTGATTACTATAGCTTTGTAGTATAGTCTGAAGTCAGGGAGCCTGATTTCTCCGGCTCCGTTTTTCGTACTCAAGATTGCTTTGGCTGTTTGGGGTCTTTTGTGTTTCCGTACAAATTGTGAAATTTTCTGTTCTAGTTCTGTGAAAAATGCCAGTGGTAGTTTGATAGGGATTGCATTGAATCTATAGATTGCTTTGGGAAGTAGAGTCATTTTCACAATGTTGATTCTTCCAATCCAAGAACATGGTATATCTCTCCATCTGTTTGTATCATCTTTAATTTCTTTCATCAGTGTCTTATAATTTTCTGCATACAGGTCTTTTGTCTCCTTAGGTAGGTTTATTCCTAGATATTTTATTCTTTTTGTTGCAATGGTAAATGGGAGTGTTTTCTTGATTTCACTTTCAGATTTTTCATCATTAGTATATAGGAATGCCAGAGATTTCTGTGCATTAATTTTGTATCCTGCTACTTTACCAAATTCATTGATTAGCTCTAGTAGTTTTCTGGTAGCATCTTTGGATTCTCTATGTATAGTATCATGTCATCTGCAAACAGTGACAGCTTTACTTCTAATTTTCCGGTTTGGATTCCTTTTATTTCCTTTTCTTCTCTGATTTGCTGTGGCTAAAACTTCCAAAACTATGTTGAATAAGAGTGGTGAGAGTGGGCAACCTTGTCTTGTTCCTGATCTTAGTGGAAATGGTTTCAGTGTTTCACCATTGAGGACGATGTTGGCCGTGGGTTTGTCATATATGGCCTTTATTATGCTGAGGAAAGTACCCTCTATGCCTACTTTCTGCAGGGTTTTTATCATAAATGGGTGTTGAATTTTGTCGAAAGTTTTCTCTGCATCTATTGAGATGATCATATGGTTTTCCTCCTTCAATTTGTTAACATGGTGTATCACGTTGATTGATTTGCGTATATTGAAGAATCCTCGCATTCCTGGAATAAACCCCACTTGATCACGGTGTTTGATCCTTTTAATGTGCTGTTGGATTCTGTTTGCTAGTATTTTGTTGAGGATTTTTGCATCTATGTTCATCAGTGATATTGGCCTGTAGTTTTCTTTCTTTGTGACATCCTTGTCTGGTTTTGGTATCAGGGTGATGGTGGCCTCGTAGAATGAGTTTGGGAGTGTTCCTCCCTCTGCTGTATTTTGGAAGAGTTTGAGAAGGATAGGAGTGTTAGCTCTTCTCTAAATGTTTGATAGAATTCGCCTGTGAAGCCATCTGTTCCTGGGCTTTTGTTTGTTGGAAAATTTTAATCACAGTTTCAGTTTCAGTGCTTGTGATTGGTCTGTTCATAGTTTCTATTTCTTCCTGATTCAGTCTCGGCAGGTTGTGCATTTCTAAGACTGTCCATTTCTTCCAGGTTGTCCATTTTATTGGCATAGAGTTGCTTGTAGTAATCTCTCATGACCCTTTGTATTTCTGCAGTGTCAGTTGTTACTTCTCCTTTTCCATTTCTAATTGTATTGATTTGAGTCCTCTCCCTTTTTTTCTTGATGAGTCTGGCTAATGGTTTATCAATTTTGTTTATCCTCTCAAAGAACCAGCTTTTAGTTTGATTGATCTTTGCTATCGTTTCCTTCATTTCTTTTTCATTTATTTCTGATCTGATTTTTATGATTTCTTTCCTTCTGCTAACTTTGGGGGGTTTTTTGTTCTTCTTTCTCTAATTACTTTCGGTTCAAGGTTAGGTTGTTTATTCGAGATGTTTCCTGTTTCTTAAGGTAGGATTGTATTGCTATAAACTTCCCTCTTAGAACTGCTTTTGCTGCATCCCATAGGTTTTGGGTCGTCGTGTCTCCATTGTCATTGTTTCTAGGTATTTTTTAATTTCCTCTTTGATTTCTTCAGTGATCACTTCGTTATTAAGTAGTGTATTGTTTAGCCTCCATGTGTTTGTATTTTTTAGGTTGTGTTCCTGTCTTGCTAGTTGTTTGGCATAGGGTGTCCAGCACTGTAGCTTGCTGGTCGTTGAGTGAGGCTGGGTGTTGGTGTTGAGATGGAGATCTCTGGGAGATTTTCGTCATTTGATATTATGTGGAGCTGGGAGGTCTCTTGTGAACCAGCGTCCTGAAGTTGGCTGTCCCACCTCAGAGGCACAGCGCTGACTCCTGCCTGCAGCACCAAGAGGCTTTCATCCACACGGCTCAGAATAAAAGGGAGACAAGGAAGAAAGAAAGAGGATAAAATAAAGTAATAAAAAATAAAGTTATTAAAATAAAAATAATTATTAAGAAAATATTTTTTAAGTAAAACAGTAAAAAAAAAAAAAAAAAAAATACGGACGGACAGAACCTTAGGACAAATGGTGAAAGCAAAGCTATATAGACAGGGCTTCCCTGGTGGTGCAGTGGTTGGGAGTCCGCCTGCCGATGCAGGGGACACGGGTTGGTGCCCCGGTTCGGGAAGATCCCACATTCCGCGGAGCGGCTGGGCCCGTGAGCCATGGCTGCTGAGCCTGCGCGTCAGGAGCCTCTGCTCCGCAAAGGGAAAGGCCACAACAGTGAGAGGCCCTCGTACAGCGTACCGTAAAAAAAACAAAAACAAAAACAAAAAACTGTACAGACACAATCTCACACGGAAGCATACACATACACACCAAAAGAGGAAAAGGGGAAGAAATAATAAATCTTGCTCTCCAAGTCCATCTCCTGAATTTGGGATGATTCATTGTCTATTCAGGTATTCCACCGATGCAGGGTACATTAAGTTGATTGTGGAGATTTAATCCGCTGCTCCTGAGGCTGGAGGGATTTCTCTCACAGCTCCCGGGGTTCAGATTTGGATTGGGCCCCACCTCTGCGTATAGGTCACCTAAGGGCGTCTGTTCTTTGCCCAGACAGAACGGGGTTAAAGGAGCAGCTGATTCGGGGGCTCTGGCTCACTCAGGCCGGGGGGAGGGAGGGGTACAGATGCCGGGCGAGCCTTCTGCAGCAGAGGCCCGCGTGACGTTGCACCAGCCTGAGGCGCAACGTGCGTTCTCCCGGGGAAGTTGTCCCTGGGTCACGGGACCCTGGCAATGGCGGGCTGCACCGGCTCTCCGGAAGTGGGCTGTGGATAGCGACCTGTGCTCGCACACAGGCTTCTTGGTGGCGGCAGCAGCCGCCTTAGCGTCTCATGCACGTCTCTGGGGTCCACGCTGATCACTGCAGCTCGCGCCCGTCTCTGGAGCTCCTTTAAGCAGCGCTCTTAATCCCCTCTCCTCGCGCACCAGGAAACAAAGAGGGAAGAAAAAGTCTTGTCTCTTCGGCAGCTCTAGACTTTTCCCCGGACTCCCTCCCGGCCGTGGTGCACTAACCCCCTGCAGGCTGTTTTCACGCTACCAACCCCAGTGCTCTCCCTGTGCTCCAACCGAAGCCCGAAGCCTCAGATCCCAGCCCCCGCCCGCCCCGGCGGGTGAGCAGACAACCGTCTCGGGCTGGCGAGTGCCGGTCGGCACCGATCTCCTGTGCGGGAATCTCTCCGCTTTGCCCTCCGCACCCCTGTGGCTGCGCTCTCCTTCGCGGCTCCGAAGCTTTCCCCCTCCGCCACCCGCAGTCTCCGCCCGGGAAGGGGCTTCCTAGTGTGTGGAAACCTTTCCTCCTTCACTGCTCCCTCCCACTGGTGCAGGTCCCGTTCCTATCCTTCTGTCTCCGTTTATTTTTTCTTTTGCCCTACCCAGGTACGTGGGGGGTTTCTTGCCTTTTGGGAGGTCTGAGGTCTGCCAGCGTTCAGTGGGTGTTCTGTAGGAGTTGTTCCACGTGTGGATGTATTTCTGGTGTATCTGTGGGGAGGAAGGTGATCTCCGCGTCTTACTCTTCTGCCATCTTCCCCGTCTCCCTCTGGGGAGACTTTTAAATGCCTCTTCTTTCCTATGAAAGTATACAATTATATAGCTGGAATCCAGATGGCAGCTAGTTTTATTTTTCCAATCTTGCAGCAGGCCTTTCATTTTAATGTTTCTAGCATTGCTTTGGGTAATTCCAAATACCTCATTCCTTTTTTCAGTTGGTGTTTTATTATTAATATTGGGACGGCCGTGTTCCTTTGCTAGTAGTCTCAGCATTTGGCTTCTGCTCTGATAGGCTATAGGAAACATTATTTATGTTTCAAAAAATCCATTTGAGTTTTTAAAGGAGTAAATATTTATGTCACTAAAAAAGCTCCAGTAGATATAGTTTAAAATTATTAATGCAGTTTGACTAGTTTGTTTTAGGGAAGGAGTTGGAAATGAGACTGGGAAGTCTAGATTGGCACCAGTTAAGCGCCTTGAATGCCAGTGTTGGTCCTCGGTGGGTGGGGGGTGGGGCAGCATGGGTCACTGCATGTCACTGAGCATTTGTCAGCTAGATTAGAACCACGCTCTAGGACATTTGTCTGGCAGTGGTGTAAGGATGGATTGGGAGAGGCAGCCAATGGAAGGGACCATTAGCGGGGCCACGGGAGAAGTAACGGAGCCCTGAGCTCAGTGGCATCGGTGAAAATAGAGAGGAGGGAACAGATGTCAGAGACATGGAGGAAGGAGAACCCGCAGGCCTTGGGAATTAATGAAGTGGGAGGGAAGGAAGGTGAACATATCATATAAATCCAGAGCTGACTCTTCAGTTAGGAACTTCACATGTATATTTCCTTTGAGAAAAGGCAGGTTATCAACTTTATGATCTACTGATAATTGAGTATAAAATTCCATCTAACCTTTCAGGCTCCTACAGTAGAATATAATTTTAAATGTTCATATGACTTTATCATAATTTTTTTTCTTTTCAAAACAGTTTCCTGACCAGGCAACACAGCTAAAATGGAACGTTCAGTTTTGCCTGACGATCCCTCCCAGTGCACCGCCAATTGCACCTCCTGGGACACCTGCTGTGGTGCTGAAATCCAAAATGCTATTTTTTGTAAGTACCACCCGGGATGCACATGTGTTTGTGTGTGTATGTGTGTGTGTATATATGGGTGCAGGTGCGCAGAGCTTCTGAGGCAGAAGCCATTTGAGGATAACAGAGCATCTTTTGGATAACTACAGAAATTACCTGTTGCTGCCAAATATAGGCCCAGATCCCTTAATTGTCAGTTTAGACCTCACATAATCTTGGTTCCTGTAGTAAGGAATATATTGAACTAGGTAATTGTGTGACACAGTTGCATCTTAATCATAATATTTAGTTGTTTGTCACTTTTCTTGTCCTATTTAATTTTCTTTTACTTGTATCTTAATCTGACAGTAGAGTAAATGATAGTACTTTTGATACATTTACATAAATATTTTGTTTTCTTACTGTGTTTTTATTCTCTTTTGTTTGTGTTGTGTCTACAGCTTCAGCTAACTCAGAAAACATCGGTCCCTCCCCAAGAACCTGTTAGTATTATAGTTCCAATCATTTATGACATGGCTTCAGGTACCACCCAGCAGGCAGACATTCCCAGACAGCAGAACTCTTCTGTTGCTGCTCCCATGATGGTCAGCAACATTCTGAAGAGGTTTGCAGAGATGAACCCACCACGACAAGGTACATGACAAGTAGATGATATTTTATTGCATATATGTTATAAACGTTCTTTTGAGAGATCCCCCTTCTCCCCTCTGCTCCCTCCTTACCCACCTTGCCCCCCAGTCCTAGTAGTAGAGCTCTGGTTGCTGTGGGCCTCTTAATGTCTGCCTGTCGCTTTCTTCCTTTCTCACTGGTTCTTCAGTTTTGTCCATGTCTCTGCTGCCTGGACTTTATTTTTGTTAGTGATTTACTATTGGGACTGACCCAGTTGCTAATGCCAGAAGCTTGTATTTATAGCACACGTTGCCACAAAGCCCCAGGTTAGGATGATAGAATTTTCCATGGCTGTGAATTCCTGCCCCACCATCGATACCTGCCACTCTGTACATCACCAAGTTGAAATGCATGTTGGTTTCTCCTATTTCATGGTTCAGTCATGAATAGAATAATATCACTCAAACTTCTGTATCTTCTAAATGTTTTGTGAAGAATAAAAGCTGATACAAATGGCATCACTGCTTTTTGGGCTTCTTATATAAGTGTCAGGCGGGTGCAAGTGAACCTTTTCACCGAGTGCACAATGAAGCTCTCAAACTGAACATTTTCGAAGAGACCAGAATGATTCTGGTAGATAAACAAGGTCCCTTCAATACCGGAGTAGCCTATGCTTAACACGGAACTTCTGGCAGTGCTAAATTTTTTACTATAAACCATAAAGCTCAGCAAAGAGACCTTCTCTTCCATTCTGCTTATGTCTAACATTAAGGAAATTAAATTAAAATTTGCTTATTTCTAATAGTAAGGAAGTCCTCTGTATCTTTCTGTTCAGAATAGTATGATCACAGAATTAATTTTTTAAATGAGGGAAAGTTGTTCTCTGAAACATTTTTTAGGTACCACAGTGTCAAAATTTTACTAGACACAGGAATCATGGGAGAAATTATATTTTCAGCTGTTTGTTGCCCCATATTGTATACATAGACAAGTTCTCACCTACATATAGTTTATAAGGAACACACTGGGCAGTAGAGAAGGGTGTGCTTCTTTTGTTGTAATGCTTCTTCCACTTCTTACAATTTTCTGCTTTCATCCTTTGACTTCTCTTCTTTCAGCTCAAATTAGGTCCTTCAGAATCAAAGTTTAAAGCTATCAGCATTTTCCAAGTAGCAGTTCAGTGTAACTTTGATAATAAACACCATTCCTTCGCAAGCAGATGACTATCATTATTATGTCTCATGGAATTTAAAATTTAAAGGAAAGAATGTTTGATCCTGTTGGGATCGAGCAAGTTTTTCTCCCTATCAATAACGAAAATGTGTTTTTTAAAAAATAAAAAGTTGTAACTTCTTTTATTTAAGAAATTGTTGCTATATTTTGGAAGTATATTTCTTTTTTTCTTTTATTTGACCTTAGACTGGTTAAAACCTTTGGATTTTTCTTTCTGTACCTTAATTTTCCAGTAGTTGGAGAGAAGGTTGCAGTGACTTGCGCAGGATCACTGCACATCCTGCCCTTTACCGGAAGGCCATTATTCAATTGAGGTCTTCACTTCCTTCGCTCTCAGCCACTTTAGCGTTAGGCCATGCTCTAGGGAAAGGACCCGGTTTGGGGTTTCTAATATTTACAACTGGTTTTGGTTTATTGTATTGAAATATTTGAGATACATATGTGTGTGTGTGTACACACACACACACACACACACACACACACACACAATAAGTAAGAGGCAGGGTATTTTGTTCTTTGAGCAAAGGGGACATTGAGAGGATGAATCATTAACCTCCCCCAACCACCCCCCCCCGCCCCATACACACGCACACAAACAAATCTTGTTTTTGGATTGTTGGTGTGCTGTACTACAGCCACCCCTCCCCTCCTCCCAAACTCATCACTTCCTCCCCGGTGAAGGAGGGATCATTTTATTTTTGTATTAATTGATTTTAACTTTGAACTCCAGAAGTTGATCAATTCCTGGAAATTTGAGGGAAACTCCAATAGATGTCATAGACCTGCACTGTCCAGTATAACTGCCACTCTTCACATGTGGCTATTTAAATTTATTTAAAATCAAAGAAAATGTAAAATCAGTTCCTCAGTCACACTAGCTATATTACAAGTATTCAGTAGCCAGAGCACACATATAGAATATTTCTGTCATCACAGAAGGTTCTATTAGTGCTGTCGTAGACATTTTTATCTGGCCTTTAATGCAGCATCAGAAGGACACCATTGATGTTGTTAACTAATATATAAATATAAAATTAGATCTTTCATTTGATTCAAGAAAAGGTCGTCAGGAGCCTTGAAGTCCGACTTCAAAGTCTTATCCAACGCTCCAGTGTTTCTGTAGAGAAACTCTAGGCATATTGTCTTAAATTCAGATCTAATTGGGAGTTGCCCAAAATGTCTTCATGATGAAAAAAACAAAACCCAAACCAAGTATCATCTGATACTTAACACCAAAGCTTAATCCCCTATAATCCGTGCAGTTAAAATCTAGTCTTTTGTTTTGGTCTTTAAAGTTCTTGCTAATTTTAGATTTAATTACCCCTACCCTCACCGGTGTGTTAACATCATCTTTCCTGTATTGCGAATAGCTAATGACCATTTTTCTCTGTTGCAGGTGAATGCACAATATTTGCAGCTGTTCGTGATTTAATGGCTAATCTTACACTGCCCCCTGGTGGGCGTCCATAGACACTATTGTTTTTAAACCAGGAAGGCTGACAAAAGAGACAAAACAACACACAAAAAAATCTGAATTCAGCCTTCAGTTTAAAAAAGCAAAAGGACTTTTTTGACTTTAAGAGCTGAATATTCTAAAGTGGCAAAATTTTTCAGGGTGTACTTCTTTCATCAAAAAGACCATCAATCTTTTGTATAGTGAACTTGTATAGTGTGTTTAAATGGGACACATTTCAAACTAGGTAATACGTCAGTGTCCGTTTGCCAGTAATAGATTTAATATTCTGTTTTATACTATAAAGTTATGGAAATGCCAAACTTGTTTATTTAATTGTTTTCTTATGTTTTGGGTGTAATAGTCCTTTTTTGGTTTTTGTTTTGTTTTTTAAGGCAGGTCTGTCATTTTTGAATACTGTAAAACTGTGATAAACTTTATATCGAAGCTGTATTTTAATATGACCGCTTTGAATCCTTACATGAAAATGTTCTGGGAGTTGTTATAAACACATCCCAAAGAAGCAATATTTAATAAAACTAGGTTAAAAAAAAAAGTGACCCTCACTTGTGTGTATATCAGCTCTGTAGACTTCTCAGGGCCTCCCTTCATCTTTAACCTGGTGGGGCCAGTAATTAATTCCTAATAATACATGTCTGAAATTTGACCAAAACATCTTCTTTGTTTCAAGGTTAATTTATTTTCCTCAAACATTCCTAATTTGACTGGTGGTTAACATTTAGGACCTTGGTTGTCTTTCAGTGCAGGATTTGGGTAAAAAAGAAAGAACCCAATCTTTGAGAACAAACAGTGAGTAGTTCATATTGATCAAGGATCCCAAACACTGCAGTCATTCTCTGTTGAGGATGTGGGAACTTTTCTGTTAGGCAAATTTAGTTTACAGGATACTTCTGCGTATAGCATTAATTAGGAAACCAAGACCTTGAATGCTCTACCCTTGCATGAAATTTCTGTGACGTTTCTTTATCTTGATTAACTTCTCCCCCTTGCCTCCCCCACCAGAATTGGGGTGGTTCTAAACAATCCCAGTTTAATTTATTGTCAACAGAATGATAAAATGTTTTACCTGGAAGAAGCCTGGTGCAGTGCACTCACTTGGAAGAATCCAAGACCCAGGGTCTGTCCAGGGTCAAATGGAGTTTCTGTTACACATCTCAGCAGAGTTTCTGTTCGGAGCACTGTGCTGTCTCTCCCAGTCCGTCGGGAACTTTTTTAAGCTTCAAAGAACATGATCCAAAGCAAAGGTCTTCTGGAGACTTGATGTGTTATTTGGGAACGTTTTTTAAATGGTAATACTGTGCTGAGTTATCTGATCCCTGTTCTACTGGTTCTCCATGAAATTTTAGATGCTTTATCTAATTCTACTTTAAGATGATTTAATTGAGCTTCTGTGACTATCAACTGCCAAATTCTAGTTTCAAGCATCTCATTGCAGTTAATATCTGTTCTCAACTTTGCTTGATTCTCCATTCATTTCTGGTCAGAACTGAGGCCTTCTTTGCCTTTCTTCTATGTCTTATTTCTGCCTTCATCTCCTGCTTCTCACCCAACTCTGCCACTATGCAGAAGCAGGTGACTAAACTTTTATCCTTCCCTTAACTTACCTTTTATCCTTCTGTTTTTGGTTCACCTTACAATGGTAATCACATCAGTTTGGCAGTCTGAGATGTCTTTATCAAGGGTCAGCCCTTTCCTGTTTGGAGCTGAATCCTTTCTTTCATGTAGAAATCTACATGTATATACAAGAAATGTATTTTTATCTGCAGGATAATACTGTCTCAAATAATTTTATTAATAGAGTTAAATTTTCAGGCATTTTCCCTTTTAAGTGTGGTTTTGAAATATGAATTGCATTTTTAAACATGATACATTCGGTGGATACTTTGTTCCTTATTATAAGTCATCTCTGAATGCATTGTGCAAATCAAAAGATACAATTCAGTGAACAGAATTTGCTTTTGATGCTTATGAAGAGAAAACCCATGGATGTGAATTTTGATATCACGCTTGATACTTGGAATTGGTGCATACTTTATTACAGCTTGAAAACACTGAGCATTTGAATCTTAGGTTTCATCACAAACTATGTCTTTTGCCTCTTTTGTTAACCGAGTTCAATCAAAGGGACTGGATGCCCATAGGGATTTTGCCTAATAGGTGGTTTGGGTCTGTAGTGTGTTTCAATGTGACTTTAGAAATTTCAGTAATAAATAAAATTCATACAAGTTTCAGAGAACTACCAACTCTCTAGTTAATTTTCATGAAGATGTTTTGGCTAGTAGTGTGGTTTATTATTAGCTTAACCTTGAAGAAATTGGTCCTGATTTGCCACATTCTTTTTTCCATCTGCTGAAATGAGGACTCCGCGCTTCCAATGCAGGGAGCCGCGGGTTCAGTCCCTGGTCGGGGAACTAAGATCCCACGTGCCGCGGCGCGGCCAAAAGATAAAAAAACCAGAATGTATTAGAAGTATTTTCAGAATTAGAGAGGAAGAAAGCGAAAACTTTTAACAGAACATATCAAGTTATTAATAACAGGAGCACTGAACTTTGTTTGAAAACTAACACTGAGTGAGCTAAGTGCAAGCATAAACTGAAATATACGTGATTTTAAATTTCAACACCACTAATAACTTTACTGTGTTGTAGTTAACACAGTAACCTGTTCAGCGACGGGATACTAAATAGTCTGTTAGTCATTTTTTGGATCATGGTTAATTTGATAACTTCAAGAAGTATAATTTTGCTACTCTAAATCTGGGTCCAATTTCAACATAAAAAAAGATATTCCTGGGGCTTCCTTGGTGGCGCAGTGGTTGAGAGTCCGCCTGCCGGTGCAGGGGATGCGGGTTCGTGCCCCGGTCCGGGAAGATCCCACATGCTGCGGAGCGGCTGGGCCCGTGGGCCATGGCCGCTGGGCCTGCGCGTCCGGAGCCTGTGCTCCGCAGCGGGAGAGGCCGCGACAGTGAGAGGCCCGCGTACAGCAAAAAAAAAAAAGAAGAAGAAAAAAAAAAGATATTCCTTTCTTTCATGGTTTCTTCCCCAGAAGAAATACCTATTACATTTTACTTTAATCCAGTTTGCTATCATCCAAGTGTTCCTGATATAAAATCAATACACAGAAAATGATAAGAGAATTTATACTCAGGGAACTTAAGGGACAGAAAGGAAAGATGTTAATGTATATTTCATTGTTCCCTGTGGAATTTCCTTTTTCATGTGGTTTAATGGGAATGGACAGTTTGTCTAAGGGAATGATTTGAAATTTACTTGGGATGGATTTACTATCGAGGTTTTTAAGAAAAAATTAGCAGAGGCCAGCCAGCATTGTGCTGCAGAATTCCAGGAGACTATATGATCTGCTCACGGTTTTCTATAAATTGCCTCCATTTCCAGGTGGCCAGTGATTTGTTAAAATACTTCGCCCAGGAATGACTGATTGATGAAAGGGCACGTTTAGGTCAATATAAAATAATAGCTAATATTTACTGAGGGCTTACTATTGCCAGGCACTATGTATTTCAGACTGTATTTAATTGTCACAACAACCCAGCAGGGTAGGCCTCCTTTTACTGTGAGTAAACTGAGGCCTGGACAAATGAAGTAATTTGCTGAGACCAGATTAAGATTGCTTAAGATCAAACAGCTAAGAAGCGGCATTTTGAGTCCAAAGCTGACACTCCTGAACACTGCCACTTTGCTGTGAAACAAAGTCAGGGGAAGGCTTCAATGTTTAGACTCTTCCCTCAGAGCCTTTTGACTACACACAATTTTAAAATGTTTTCCAAGCTCAAGAAGCTCACTAAAAGCAACTAAAATTGAGATGACCTCTTGTCATTTGGAGTTGACAAGCCATTGCCTTCTGACCCTCATGGCACTTATTTGGAACTTAGATTACCTTATGCAAGGAGCTCTAATTATCATATAATCAAGAGTACTAAATCATCTAAGCTCGATGCTTCAAGACCATAGTGGAAGAAGTCCTCACCCCACTAGGGGCGATGCAGCCCTCCAGAATCCGGGTGATGTGTCGTCCTGTTTTGCCTCTGCTAGGTAGCCCAATGGCGGATGTTTTTGAGCTTTGTGTCACCTTGGCACACCGCAGGCGCATAACAGGTGCGCGGTGCAGACAGCCAACGGTCAAATTTCACTAATGTCCAGATAGGCTACAGCCAACCTGCGGGCTTAGGATCCAGTTAAGAAAACTTTCTAGAATTGTATAACGCAAGGAACATAAGTAATTCAATAACTGTCTCGAGCACCGTCTTACACCTCTACAATAAAAAAAAAAAAAAAAAACAGGAGCACAGGCTTCAGGAGACGGAGCCCAATCGCTGGCTGGCGAGGTCTCAGTTTGGGGGAACAGAGTAGAGACTTTCTGAGCGAGCCCCAAAGTACAGAACGCGTCGGTCGCCATCTAAGACGGGGCTGGGGCCGACGTGCCCCGGAAACTAGAACTCCCTGCCGCCTGGCGGTTGGGGGAATCCGGGGCGCCTTCGGGCGTGGCCGCGCCCACAGCGCAGCCGTCGCCTCGGGCGCGTCCAGACTTCCGCGCCTGCGCACGACCGTCCGCCCCGCCCCTCGCCCCGTGGCCCCGCGGGCTCGATCCCGGCATGGTGCTCTCTGAGCTGGCTGCGCGCCTCAACTGCGCCGAGTACAAGAACTGGGTGAAGGCGGGCCACTGCCTGCTACTGCTACGCGGCTGCTTGCAGGGCTTCGTCGGCCGCGAGGTGCTCGCCTTCCACCGCAGCCTGCTAGCCGCCGCCCCCGGCCTGGGCCCCCTCGCCACCTGCCGCAGCGGCTCGCGGGGCAGCCCGCGCGCCCGCCAGGTGAGCACCCGGCCCGGGGTCTTGACCGTCGCCCCTCACCCCGTCCGCGGGCGCAGTGTCTCGTGCCCTCCCCGGAGCCGGGCCGACCGCCGTGCCTGGGGTTCAGATGCCCAGACGCCGCCCCTCCCTCCCGGGCCCCTCCTCACCGCCGCCCCCTGTAGTTTCAGCCTCAGTGTCAGGTGTGCGCAGAGTGGAAACGGGAGATTTTGAAACATCACACCAGCAAAAATGGAGACGTCCACTGGGGAAACTGCCGGCCGGTCCGCTGGCCGGTCGACGCCTGGGAGGTGGCCAAGGTAAGCACCTGCGGTCGGGAGGGTAGGAGGAGTTGGCCCACCAGGTAGGAGTTTCCTGGAGCCCGGGGCGTCTGTTGGGTCTGTGTGGAGCTGGGGCCCCATAAACAAATGCAGAGAGATTGGGCTTTTGATCAAGGGTGTAGTGTCTAGGCGGCTCAGGGCTGTTATATCGGACCCAACGCAGCTTAGTGAAGTAGAATATTTCAACGAGAGACGCTGGGGCAAGATGTAGAGCGAGCATCATGGGTACAGGCACAGAGGGAGGAGCAGGCAAGGCCTTTCGAGGGTAGGCTCCCTGAGTAGCTCACTTTGTCTGTAAGGGGCCATGAGGATGGCAGAATGAGCCAAGGGAAGTTGGGGCTAAGATAGAAAGGACCTTAAGTGCCTAGCTAAGGAGTAAAACTTTGGGGAGGTAGGGGTGGGGTAGGCCCGTTTTCAGATCTTGGTGATGTGACTTACTAGCTGGGCTGATTGAAGAATTTTTTTTTTTGACTTTTTGATATTTGCCAGAAGCCCAGTAGGAGCGGGGGAGGGGGAGTCGAAGTAGCCTCCTAACACAAATTCACCTCTGGAGTCAGTCTACGTGCTAGTTACCAGCAGGCACAGGCTTGGTGCCTGGGAAGCAGGGATCAGAATCTCCGCTCAGCTGCTGCGGTGCACCGTTGGGCCAGCCTCTGTTCCCTAACCTCAAAAATGAGGAAGTTGGACTATATCGGTGGCCCCCAGACTTTTGGCTATCGTGGTCCAGTAAACCCACCATACCCTCTCCCCCTCTTGTTTGTTGTTGCCATAGAATTGCCAACTTCTGCTTTTACTTAGAAAAGAAGAAAACTTAAAACTCTACCCTTTGCTATGACCGTCCCTCACCTGTTTGTTTTCTGTCACTGCTTTCATACCCTCAGAATCCTCTTGAAGCCCATGCCACCTGTTTCTGCTGCTCTTTAGCCTCAGTGTCAGGTGTGCGCAGAGTGGAAACGGGAGATTTTGAAACATCACACCAGCAAAAATGGAGACGTCCACTGGGGAAACTGCCGGCCGGTCCGCTGGCCGGTCGACGCCTGGGAGGTGGCCAAGGTAAGCACCTGCGGTCGGGAGGGTAGGAGGAGTTGGCCCACCAGGTAGGAGTTTCCTGGAGCCCGGGGCGTCTGTTGGGTCTGTGTGGAGCTGGGGCCCCATAAACAAATGCAGAGAGATTGGGCTTTTGATCAAGGGTGTAGTGTCTAGGCGGCTCAGGGCTGTTATATCGGACCCAACGCAGCTTAGTGAAGTAGAATATTTCAACGAGAGACGCTGGGGCAAGATGTAGAGCGAGCATCATGGGTACAGGCACAGAGGGAGGAGCAGGCAAGGCCTTTCGAGGGTAGGCTCCCTGAGTAGCTCACTTTGTCTGTAAGGGGCCATGAGGATGGCAGAATGAGCCAAGGGAAGTTGGGGCTAAGATAGAAAGGACCTTAAGTGCCTAGCTAAGGAGTAAAACTTTGGGGAGGTAGGGGTGGGGTAGGCCCGTTTTCAGATCTTGGTGATGTGACTTACTAGCTGGGCTGATTGAAGAATTTTTTTTTTTGACTTTTTGATATTTGCCAGAAGCCCAGTAGGAGCGGGGGAGGGGGAGTCGAAGTAGCCTCCTAACACAAATTCACCTCTGGAGTCAGTCTACGTGCTAGTTACCAGCAGGCACAGGCTTGGTGCCTGGGAAGCAGGGATCAGAATCTCCGCTCAGCTGCTGCGGTGCACCGTTGGGCCAGCCTCTGTTCCCTAACCTCAAAAATGAGGAAGTTGGACTATATCGGTGGCCCCCAGACTTTTGGCTATCGTGGTCCAGTAAACCCACCATACCCTCTCCCCCTCTTGTTTGTTGTTGCCATAGAATTGCCAACTTCTGCTTTTACTTAGAAAAGAAGAAAACTTAAAACTCTACCCTTTGCTATGACCGTCCCTCACCTGTTTGTTTTCTGTCACTGCTTTCATACCCTCAGAATCCTCTTGAAGCCCATGCCACCTGTTTCTGCTGCTCTTTCCCTTTCTTCATTGCTGTCACCTGCAGACCTAGTCCAACCACATGTGTATATTCTCTCTCCAAGCTGGACTCCCCTCTCGAACATCCTGTGATCCTCTCGACCTCAGCTTCCCACTTGCATGCTCACATCGGGACTGTGTCAGCACAGGGAGCTGCGGTGTCCAACATCCTGCTTGCCCTCGGTGTACTTATTCAGCCCGCCCGCACCTCTGCCCCACCCCTCGTCCCTCTCCAACGTCCACAGCTCTCAGGCTTCCACTGCTTTCCCAATCCCCAGCAGCCTCTGCCCTCCCAGCTTCCTTTGCTTCCTCAGCCAGCCCAGATTCCACAGTCCCTCGTTCTGTTCAGTCCCTTGCAGTTGTCTCGGTCTTCTTTCTCCTTTCTCTGCACTTGCCAGGCCCAGCTCCAGCCCTGATGACACCACACCTGCTGCTCTGGGGAAGAATCTTTCGAGGGATCTTTCGCTTTCAGTTCTTGATCACAAGCCCAGCAGCCTGGCCCTGTCTCTCCGTAGGTTCCTGTTCCCGGAGACAACTGTTGCTGCCTCTCCTTCGCTGAGCTCCCACTCCTGTTCCCCCACCTGCAATCCCAGCTGCTAACCTTGCTCTCACTTTCTTATCTTTTTACCAGACCTACCGACCTACCTCCATGTGCACCATCTTCTTCCTTCTCCTACGAAGGAGGAAGGGCGTTTCTCCTCTTACCGCCCTGTCCCTCCACTTGAGTGTTGGACCTTATCCCCTCCCACCTGCCCAAGGACTTTGAGTCTCCACTCTTCCGACCTCCCAGTTTATTCCCATCACCATACAAATAGCCTTAGTACTGCCTTGGTTTATACAATTTTTTTTTTTAAAAAAGAGATTTCAGTATAGAGTTAATATATGACTTAGCAGTGCCACTCCTAGGTACATACCTGATGAAGTGGAAACATGTGTCCCCACAAAAACCTGTGCACGAATGTTCATAGCCGTACTCTTCACAATAGCCAAGAGGTGGAAACAACACACATGTCCATCAACTGATGAATGGATAACCACAATGTGGTTTATCCATACAATGGGGTATTATTTAGCCATAAAAAGGAATGGAGTACTGATACATGCTACAGTACTGCATGAACCTTGAAAACATTATGCTAAGTGAAAGAAGCCAGTCATATATTGTATGATTCCGTTTATATGAAATGTCTAGAATAGCCAAATCTATAGAGGCAGAAAGTAGATTAGTAGTTGCCAGGGCCTGAAGGAGAGAGGGGGCAATAGCTAATGGGTAGAGGGTTTCTTTTTGGGGTGATGAAAATGTCCTAAAATTGTGGTGATAGTTGTGCAACTCTGAATATACTGAAAACCACTAAACTGTAAATGCTTAATTTTTTTATTGAGGTGTAATTGATTGTAACATATTAATTTCAGGTATACAACATAATGATTCGATATTTAATACTTTGTGAAATGATCACCACAGTAAGTCTAGTTAATGTCCACTACCATGTGTGGTTGCAATTATTTTTTTCTTGTGATGAGAACTTTCAAGATCTACTCTCTTAGCAACTTTCAAATACTGCAGTACAGTATTATTAACTATAGTCACCATGCTGTGGATTACATCCCCAGGACTTACTTATTTTATAACTGGAAGTTGGTACCTTTTGACCCCCTTCACCTATTTTGCCCACTCCCCATCCCCCACCTCTGGCAACCACCAGTCTGTTCTCTGCATCTGCGAGCTCGGGTTTTTGTTTTAGGTTCCACGAATAAGTGAGATCATGTGGTATTTGTCTTTCTCTGTCTGACTTAACTTCACTTAGCATAATGCCCTCAAGATCCATCCATGTCATCACAAAGAACTGTGTACTTTATTTTTTTAGCCGTATTATTACATTTTATTTTATTCATTGAAAATAAATAATTACCAATGAATCCTTTCTAGATTTTCTAGTTTCCCAAAGTTCCCTGTATTCACATTCTTTTTTTTCACACACACACACACACACACACTGTATTTTATTTTTACAAGAGATAAATAAACTGACACCAAGCATTGTAAATGGATGACCACGACAAAAGCAACAATGACTGCAATTACCGAACACGAAACACACTCATGCTATGTCATGATATTGGCATTCAGTCCAGTAATCCTCCACGGTAACAGCTCCTTTACTTTGCAGTGAAAATTGATTTGTATATTTTTTTCCTCTGAGTCCTTGTGGGATTTTTCTTTTTAATTCACACAGAAAGTCACAAAAATTATAATCATGCTCATCAGTTCACTCAGTCCCATGTAATTAATTTTTTTTTCATCTTGATCTTTTGTTAGCACTTCTATGAATTCATCAGTTTTCCATTAGAGTTCTGAAAATGCTTATTCATTCAGTTCAGCAGTATAGTCAGTTACCAGAAACCTGTACTTGTCAGTCTTTTCCATGAAGAACTGTGTACTTTAAATGGGTGAATTATATGGTATGTGAATTACATCTTAATAAAGCTTTTTTTCAAAAAAGAATTGAGTGAATACTTGGAAAATAAAATTTGAAAAGAAAGAAAAACTTCCTTCATCCATTCCGTCCAGCTGTCTCCCCATTTCTCTAACTGCCTCCCACATACGTACCCAGTAGATCTTCTCAAAAAGTGCTTTATGCCTAATTCTCTTTTCAGGGTTCATGCAGGTCCCGTTGACTCTTCAACCCACTCCCCTCTGGCTTCTGCCCCGCCACTCCACTGCATGTCTTATCAGGGGCACACGTGACCTTCAGTTCTCTGGCCTCGCCCTTCCTACCTCTCAGCTATTCGGCGCTGCCGCACTGCCGGCCACCCTTCTTGAAACAGCCCTGGCTTTGTGACATCCTCCCCTCCTGGGTTTCCTCCTGTCTCCCCGGCTCCTCCTTAGCCTCCTTCTGAGTGTCGGTTGGCCTTCCCCGGGCCTTTTCTGTCCCTCCCCACTCCGCCTTCTCCCCTGGTGATACTGCCCAGGCCCGTGGAGTGAAATATTAAATACTACGTTTCTGCTGACGGCTCCCAGATTGGTACCCCTAGCAATGCGCTGTTCTGCGCTCCGGAGGCCCATACCCAGCTGCTACTTGATGCCTCCACTTCATCACCTCCTGGGTACTTCGTCTTTTCTTCTCAAGCAGGACTCTCCTGCGTCTCTCCCCGCCAGCCTGCGCCCATGCCGCACCACCAACTACCTACAATCATTCTTGCTTCATCTCTTTCCCCCCACCACCCCTCTTATTTGTACGTGCAAATTATCTTTGGAATCATCCTCGCCATCTCTACATCACAGCTCTCGCCCCCTCTCCTGCCAGCCTCCCACCTGGCCGCCTCTGCTGCTCTGCTCACCCCTGGTTGGTCCTTCACACAGCAGGATGTGCAGTCTTCATGTGGGAATCAGATCGCTTTCTTCCTTTGCCCAAAACCCTTGGATGGCTTCCCGATGTCCTTAAGAGTAAACTCCAAACTCCTTGTCAAGTCCAGTAAGGCCCAGCACGTTCTGGCCCCTGTTTATTTCTCCAGCCTTGTCTCCTACTACTCAGTGAAGAGACAGGAGGGGGTAGTGAGAGGCAATAACGTGTGTTTCTCACCCTGTGCTTGTCACATACGGAACCTGGCGGTAGGCGATACCATTTTAAGAAACAGCTTTCAGAGGCAAGGAGGCGGCAGAGCCTCTGTCGGCTTCTGGTTCTGAGGAAAGGAAAGATGTACTAGAATAAAACCTTGATGTGGGAGAGACAGGTTTATATTGGTGAGAAAATGCCAGACTGGACATACCTTGTAATGGGAAAGAAAAACTCTGCTTGGTTTTGAGGCAACTAAGGCCCCTCCCACTTTGGGTGTTCCTCTCAGCCACAGTTGGAATAAGCAGTGTTTCCTTTCTTCCTCTTTTTTTCCTCTATTTCAACAAATTAGTTTGCCTGTGATACATTAGTTCTTTGTTAACACTTGTAACATCCATAATCTACTTTCAGCGGGTTGGCCAGAGACGGTGATGGTCTTGGCTACTGTACCTTTTGGTAGGGGCCATTCAGTATGTGTAGAATTCTTCTCAGTTACATGAGGCCGAGGTGTGTGATTCTACCACCATCAGGAACAGAAGCCCTGACTCTCCTTGGGGGGGTGTCGGCCCATACCACGTGCCTTTTTCAGAATAGCACCGTGGTTGCTTGCCTATGGAAACGTGTTTGTTTTCAAGGGAGCAGGTCTCTTTATTTAGAGTTCTTTTTTGGCGAGTCATTTTTCATATGTCATCTCTTCTAGTCCCTTGGCAGGAATGTACCCTTGAGCTTCATAGCTTGGTAAAGTTGTTGCCTTCAGATGGAAATTTGGAAATACTTCAGGAAAGAAATATGCCCAAGCCTTGCTATAACACCATTTTGGGGGTACACACCATAAAATGCTACAAAAGGAAAGATCATGCTCGAATGAGGCCATTCTGTTGTATCTAGTATCTCAAACCCTGGGACCCCGTCTGTAACGCCTGTGTAGGTCCTGCTCACCTTGCACCATCAGCATAATAATTGCCAACATTTGTGGCCTGTGTATTAGCATGTGCCAGGCACCGTGCAAGTGCTTTACCCGCATTAACTCATTTAATTCTCGAAACATCCTTCAAGGTAGATGAGGACAGTTAGCCCCTGTTTACTGATGAGGAATCCGAGGATAGGTAACTTGCCCAAGGTCACACAGTTGACAAGTGGCAGAGCTGGGATTTGCACCCCAGCTCTGTCGCATTCCAAAGCCCAGACTCTTAACTTTCTACTACCATACTGAACTTTCTCGAGTAATTTTAAAGTGTCCACTTGGGAATAACTATTACTTTTAAATCTTCTTTAACAACTCAGCCACTGAAACTTCAGTAAGGAAAAGAAAAGGGTGCTTTCTTCCCCTGCCTCCTGCTTATGTGCCATTAAGAAAGGACAGTTAGGTCAAGTGTATAAGTGTCTGTAATAGCAAGTGGACAGACAGATAGAGCAACTCTTCAGTTATTGCCCTGGGCTGAGGCTTGGCTGCCGCACTGGTTCCCGACTTGTGTTTTGGACTCATGAGGCTCTAACTTGGAACCTCGGTAAGAGAGTTTCAGTCATCATTTGGGGAACAGGCACATAGCATTTGTCCCACTAGCCCCATATAGGTAGATGTCTCCTAGGGTTGGAGGAGACTCGGGTGCCCCTTGGGCCTCCCCTGCTGCAGGCCTTCATGCCCCGAGGACTGGCAGACAAAACAGGACCCGAGGAATGTGACGCGGTTGCTCTTCTAAGTCTCATCAACTCCTGCGATCACTTCGAGGTTGATCGAAAGAAAGTCACAGAGGTAAGAACTGTCAGATTGAAAAGCAGACAGAGTTGGTCGGGTGGGTACTGTGAAGACCTGCCAGGAGCCACACCCCGTGCTGCTAAAGCAGCCGTGTGGGCAGAGCTCACGGCTCTCCCCAGACAGTGGTGTGCGAAGGAGTTAGACTTTGGTCCACAGCTGTCATCGCTGAGCAGGCAAGCAGGGCTCACATCACATGCACCTTCTGTGATGTCCCAGGACTCCTGTGTGAATGCAGGCGGGGAGACTGACCCTTCACCCCTACCCTGTTGAACTTTTCCAACAGCCTGCTGTTGCACTGTTTGCCACTAAATCGACAGGCCTCAAATTTCTCTTCCCTGTTCTGCCATAAACAGAAGCAAAGTAATCTTCCATATTAAAAAAAAAAAACAAATACAGAGTAATGCGTCATTCTGTCCATTGGATGCCAGCATTGGAATCCTGCCCTTCTCAATCTCATTGGCTAAACAGTTGCAAGGCCAATTTACCTAGAACTGAGGAAAATATAAACACTAATGGATAGACAGTGTCAGAACAGATCGCTACGCTTGTCAGACTTCCTCTGGGAGATTTAGGCTATCTCTGTTTCACCAGAGAACAGCTCCGGCACATTTGTTACTCTAAGGATCCTTGAAAAGGGTATATAGCGTACCTAGTTTACTTACAGTATGTAGAGAAAATGCATGTATATTTTGCTAGCATGCCAGCAGCTGAAAGGACTGAGAATCCTTTATCATCGGCAGACTCAAAAACTATCACGGTATAAAATCAACCCCTTTGGTAGCTTTTAACCAAGAGTGTGGAAGACTTGGCATGAAATATATATTAAAAGAGTTTTGCATTGTCTGCTTCGGCCTTTGGGTATTCTCAGAGCCATTAGCCAATAGTTTTGCTCTTTGGCAGGTTGTTTTAAGTTAGGGCATTTGGGGGATTGTGCAAGAGATACCCACCCGGCCACAAGATTTCAAGGACTAGTGACAGTTATAGGCTTGTTTGTATTTCTTACCCCAATTAATTTATTCAAGTGGCTGGGGGTTGAACATCCCCCTCGAGCCTTGACAGCACCTGCAGACCACACATTTGTGGATTTTAGAATTAACAAGGCCTTTCAACAGTCTTTCTCTGGAGCTCCAAAATCTCAGTTTACCCCACTATTGGCCTTTGAAGGCTTTTCTCTTTTTTTGTCTTTCTACAGGTGATTAAGTGTCGTAACGAGATCATGCACTCTTCAGAGATGAAAGTATCTTCTGTGTGGCTTCGAGATTTTCAGATAAAGATCCAAAATTTTCTGAATGAATTTAAGAATATCCCAGAGATTGTGGCGGTATACTCCAGAATAGAACAGGTGAGAAGTCCCGTTTAACAGTTCTTGCATAAAGACCTAAGGGGGAAGAAAAGGAATCACAGTCACTCATTTAGAATTTGAATCTTATTAGATTTAAACAAAATTCTAGAATGTAAGCAGGGGAACAATATTGATATGAAGTCAGAATTGTGATTGGGCTGAGCAGCTTTTCTGTGGTCATGGGATGTTATTAGACTGGATCCGGTCAACGATGTTTAATTACAAGTTCTTTGAATATCTTTTTTTTTTTTTTGGAATATCTTCTCCATTCAGTCAGTTCATATATTTGTTCGGTAACCCAACAGCTGTTGACATCTGACTGGGCTGTTTACATGCCTGAGGAGGATCAGCCAGATGGGTGTGACTATGAAACAGGAGTTTACCTGAGTGAGCACCAAGTAAACGAGATAGAAATGGAATTACTAAAGGAAAAACTTCAAGAGCTATATCTTCAAGCAAAAGGACAAGAGGTGTTGCCTGAAGAGGTAAAAAAAAAAAAAAAAAGCATTATATCCTCTGTGTGAGTAAACAAAACAAAGGCACCAGGGAGGAAGAGTAGCACATTTTAACTTATTAACGGTTATGTTTCTGCTTTAAAAGTCAAATAATTTCCAGAAATGGATATTCTTTTGGCACAGATTCCTGTTACCCTTAAACAAATGTTTTCACCCCATCAGCAAACATTTGGGCGCCTAATACGTGCCACAGAGTGGAAGACCACAGGAAGGGCGGCCACAGAATCCTGAACCGCAGGCTCCCGCGACTCTCTGCAGCTCAGAGGGGCGATTGCAGAAAAAGGCTTTGCTGAGAAGGCGCTGTCGAGCTGGGACTAAGAATCAAATCAGAGTTCGGCAAATTGGCAAGAGCAGAAGGGCATTCTTGCCAAGACATGAAAGACCAGCCTGGGCCAGACAGTGACGAGGCGAGCGTAGGAGGGAGGTGTGGTCGGTTGTGAGGGTGGCCAGGTAGGTCGAAGCCGTATTTTGAAAGGTCTTCTATGCCTCACTAAGGGCTTTGGACCTTATTCCCAAAAAGCAGTTGGGAGCCAACAGAGATTTTAAATCAGGAGAGAGTAAATGAATAGATCAGATAGGGCTTTTAGAAAGTGACGGCTTAATGGCACTTGGAGGTTGGAGACGAGCCAGGAGGCTCTTGGCAGTTGTGTGAGGGTGAGAGAAAGAGGACAGAAGCTAGAGGTGTGGGGGAGGAGCCGGGTGCTGGAGGCACTACTGAGGCCGAGCCGCAGTGGCTGGTTAGATTACTTGGGGCGTGGCTCAGGGCTGCCGGGAGGTGGCGAAGGAGGGGTTAAAGGATCGTCAAGGCTTCTAGATCAGGACGCTGCAAGCTAATGATCGTCTCAAGTACAGGAGACATGAGTCCCCTTTGTTACATGCAAGATATTAAAAAAACTAACAGTAGTAGAATTATATTTTGGTAAGGTTCAGAAATAGCCCAGCACTTGCTGGATTAGAATTCCAGATTCCCAGGATGTCTTGGACAGATCATTTTACCTCTCCAATTCCACCTCGTCCGAGGAAAGTAGTCTTACTGGCTACCTCGTGAAACACAGCATGTTTTAATACGAAGTGTGTATTTCATCTTTTAGGCCACGCTCCGTACTGGTCCGTATGCCTCTGCGTTAACTCTTCTGACCTTGACCCAGGTGCTTCACTCAGCTTGATGAGCTCCTTTAGCACAGGGACTGGGTACCAGTGGTTTTGGGGTGCACCCACCCTGGCACACCATAGGTATTTAAAGTGACAAATAAGGCTGTTAAAGCTGTTTTCTAAATCCATCCGTTTCATCTGGCTTTATTTTCTTTTTAAGTTTCAAAAAGTATTTATTTGTTTGGCCGCATTGGGTCTTAGTTGCGGCGTGTGGGCTCTTTTAGTTGCGGCACATGGGATCTAGTTCCCTGACCAGGGAGTGAACCCAGGCCCCCTGCATTGGGAGTGCGGAGTCTTAGCCACTGGACCGCCAGGGAAGTCCCTCATCTGGCTTTACTTTAAAATGCCATTAGAACCATCCCCAGTTTTCTTTCCACTGCTCCTTTTAAAAGCAGAGTCAGACAACAGAAGAAAACCGGGGGATCAGGCTCACGGTCCCTGAGTCGTCAGAAATTCTCTCCTCTTTCTTGAGGGAGCCGCAGTTCTCTTCCTGTTTGTGTAACAAAGAGCAAAATGCATCAGTAGCAACACACTGAAACCAGGAGTCTCTGCGAGTTGGGAGCGGGAAGGGACCCGGGTAATACCCTGCTTTATAGCAACCCTAAGGGGCAGGTGCTGATGGGCTCAAGGCCTCACGGCTGGGGTATGAGGGCTGGCCCGGGGGTCTTCCCGCTCTGGCCCTGGGCCTGCCTTCCCACGTGCCGTGCAGCGGCTCTCATGTCAGCGAGCAGCTAGCAATTGTAAATTTCGACCCTTCATTATCTCTGTTTTACAGAGAGGAAATCGGGGTTAATTGGCTTGTCCTCTGGGTCCCCAAGTCTCTAGATAAAGGTGATAAATTCTCGTTTTTCATGCTTTCTGTTCAGTGGACCGTGGCATTTCTCTTGATATTTCAATTGATCAAGTTGTAAGTTCGGATTGATTGGCACGTTATCTCTGAGAAGCTGAAGGATGGCTTTCCACGATGTGTGGGACAGACCTCTTTTGAAAGTTCAGCAGCAAATACGATTATTCATGTTCTTTTGGGTTAGTCTCCAAAGTCAGAGGATTTGGTAAACCAAATTTCAGTGACTCTAAAACACTATGAATTGCAAGACACACCATTAATTCAGTCACTTGTAAGAAAAAAAAAATGCTGCCAATTTACTGTAAGACACTATCAATGGTAAGGTACATTCTCATTCGAGATGTTAAAATATTTTTAAAAATGTGCAATTAGGAATCAAGAAACGCAGTGGTTGTATTATGACCACGGCACTTTTTTTGTGAATGTTTAGCAAGACCTGTTTCTGGTGTTCGTTAAAACAGCAGGGCTCGGGTTGGAAAGCCAAGTTGAGAAGAAAGCGTTAATGGTGGTGATTTAGTGCGACAGTCCCCGGAAAGGCATCAAGGAGCACGGGAGTGAGTGCCAGGGACCACGAAGCAGAGAGCTCATCATCTCCATTCTTTTCTGTCCAATCGGCGAGCCTTAATGATAAATAACGTTATAAAAGGGGGCTCCCATTAAAATACACTGTGCGTGCATAACTGTGATTGTAAAATGCGGTCCGCCTCAGAGCCAAATGGGAGCAGCAGCTGCCACCCAAGAGCCCTTCACACACACCTGCCGGCCCTCGGTGCTCTGTTAGGATCTGGGGGGTTCAGAATTCAGCCAAAGAACGTTGAGCGCAGTAAGTGGCTAAAAAACATGCAAAGAACTTGCACATTCTTTAAAATCATTACTGACTTCTTTTTTTTTTTTTTTTTTTTTTGCGTTTTTCGGGCCCCTCCCTGTTGTGGCCTCTCCCATTTGTGGAGCACAGGCTCCGGACGCGCAGGCCCAGCGGCCACGGCTCACGGGCCCAGCCGCTCCGCGGCACGTGGGATCCTCCCGAAACGGGGCACGAACCCGCGTCCCCTGCATCGGCAGGCGGACTCTCAAGCACTGCGCCACCAGGGAAGCCCCATTACTGACTTCTTAAACCCTGGTGGGGGGGCCGCTTTCAGGGGAAACTCAGGGAGGAAGTGACAGAATGCAGTCGAGGCAGGCAGGGAAAGGATGGAAGTGACACTCCATTGGTTATAGGCCAGATTTATTTCATGAGTGAGTGCCTACTATTTGCCAGGCACAGTTCTAGAAGCTTGGCGTGCATCAGTGAACAAAACAGCTGGTAAACGGTCAGCATAATAAGCAATGATGGGGCGAGGTAGAAGGAGGAGGGCTGTGTGGAGCACAGTGTGGGGATCAGGAGTTGGCCGAACGGGGCTGGGGGTTGGGTTGCGCGGGGTGGCCAGGGAGGCCCCATTGGGAAGCTGAGACTTAGCGGTACCTTGGAGGAGGTGCGGAGCAGCCGTGTGCGCTTCTGGAGGAGGAGCGTTCAGGCGGAGGGCAGGGCAAGCTAAGCAGGCTGGCTGGAGTGCGGTGAGGAGCTGAGCGAAGGGAAGCCTTGTGGGCCCTTGGGAGGATCCAGGCTCTTCCTCCTGAGACGGCAGCCACACTGAGTTCTGAGCAGCAGAACGATGAAGGGAGCACACTGGCCGCCGTGTGGAGGATGCAGGGCCGGGGGCCAAAGATGGAAGCAGGGAGACATTAGGAGGCTGCCGCAGGTACCAGGTCAGAGAGGTGGTGGTTCAGACCAGGGTGGAAGAGTGAAGAGTAGAGGTGGTGAGAAGGGGGGCACGTGTGGTGTGGGAGAGAAGGAAAGGCGTCAAAGACAAGTCCAAGGGTTTTGGCTTAAGTGCCTGGGAGTATGGAGGCGCTAAGCATCTTTTGCCTAGAACAGCGCCTGCCTGGCACATAGTAGACTCTCGGTACACTTCTGTTAAATGATTGTCGGAAGGGAGGAATGTACCAGACAGAGTGCTAGGTGCTTTTACTAGATTATTTCTAATCCTCACAGGAATGCTTGGTGGTGTTGGTATCATCATCCTATATTTGCATATATGGAAGTAAGCTCAGAGAGGTCAAGTGTCTTGCCCAAAGTCACACAGCTAGTTAAGTGGCAAAGCTGGGCTTCAATATCCAAGTCTGTCTGACTACTTTTCTAGCACTTTGTTTTTCCATCTTTACTTCCTTTCCCCATTTAACATATAAACGTGCACAAGCCTTCCCCATTCTTAATATATTTTTTAAAAAACTCCTTTTGACTCTTTCTCCTCCCCCCAAGCTAAAATAATCACCCCTGTTGAGCACATTTCAAGAGCAGAGAGGGTCAGGAAGTGACAGCACAAAGGATCATAGCTCCCAAGTCATGAAATGAGAAGGTCTGTGGGAAGGGAGGACCCCACTCCATCTTGGAGGGTATGTGTGATGCACAGACCAGGCCGGCATGGTCTCGGGCATCTGATGGGAACCAAGGGATGGGAAGAACCCTGGGGTGCATCTAGAGCACCCGGCACAGGCAATGAGTGCTAACAGTGCAGTAACCGCAGTTACTAATGTACACTGTGAATTACGTCATTGATGTAATCTTCATTTCACGTTTTTATGGTTTCCAGATTTATTATTTAAAGCCCAGGTATCTTTCAGGAGCTGTAGGCTTGTTTCTAGCCATGTAATAAACAGCTCCAGCTGAAGGGCACATCCCCATCTACTTAGTAACCTATCTGAAGACCTCTGGTCATCCTCAGCTCCACCCTGGCCCTCCCTGTTCCCTGTTCATCCTGGTCACAAGCCCTAGCCAGTCTTCCCCTCCCTCCCATCCCTGGCAGCCATCGTTCTGCAACCGACCGTCTCATTCACTGCCATCACAATAACCTGGTGCCTGCTTAGGTTCTGCCCTAGCCCTACTGCACCAGAGTCAACTGTGTACATCTCTAAAGTTTAAGAACCACCACTCTGCTAAGAGTAGGGTACTCCACCACTTTCCTTCGTTAGATGTCGATCGTCTTGACTTAGCTTGGAATTGGGGGTCCCTCATTTTAAACAATTCACCACACCCCAAAATATTAATAACTCTCTTCTTTGTAATAAGCACAGTGACCAGTGAGGGTATCCTCGGATAAGCGGAGTGAAAACACTTCCGTGGTACTATTCTAAGAATACATGCTTTTATTAGTTTAAATGTCAGGAAGGATGTTACTGGTGGGAGTTTAAAGTGGTATAACCTCTAGAGATGACAGTTTTGGCAAAATCTATTAACATTAAAACAGAAAACTCTATCAATTAAAACTGCATTCCACTTCTAAAAACAGATCCTACAAATAGCCTGTCACTTTATGCAAAATGACACGTCCCAGGTTAGTTACTGCAGCAGTATTTCTCTTAGCAGAAGGTTTGAAATAACATGTTAATATATGAGACATCCATAACTGAAAAACTATTCAGCCATTAAAAAAAATAATGAGGCCACTCTTTACAATCTGATATAGAAAAAAATCAGTTGAAGAGCAATGTCTACTATGCTGCCATTTGTGTTTTTAAAAATGTGTATGTGCCAATTATGTCTCAATAAAGCTGAAATTTTAAAAAGGTGTGCACATATATACATATATGCTCACGTGTAAATGCACGGACCATCTCTGGAAGAGACACAAGAAACTTCATTGTGGTCACCTTTAAGAGGAGCTGGGTGACTGGGGACAGGATGTGGAAGAGGACCAACTTTTTACGTTGTACCCTGTGTTCATCTTGAATTTTGTACCAGTATATTTATTACCAGCAAGTATGTATGTATATTTTATAAATATTGAATAGTAATAAATGTATATATGTATACATATTTACTAGTAATAAATGTGTACAAAATTCAAAATCAAAGAGCATTATATGTGTGAGTGTATACATTTGTATATATGTGTGTGTATATATATATGTGCATGTGTAAATGTATTTAATCATAATAAATGGGAACAAAATTCAAAATGAAAGGGCTTTATTTTATTTTTATATATATATATATGTATGTGTATGTGTATGTGTATGTGTACGTATGTGCGTGTATATGTGTATACACACACACATATAGGTATAGACATATATCCCTTTTCTACAAATGCAGGAAGTTTTACAGCAAAAAAAATCATCTTTTAAAAGTTTTTTCCAGTTTTATTGAGATATAATTGACATACAGCACTGTATAAGTTTAAGGTATACAGCATAACGATTTGACGTACATATATCGTGAAGTGATTACCACAATAAGTTTAGTTAACGTCTGTCATCTCGTATAGACACCAAAAAAAGGAAAAAAAATGTTTTTTACCTTGTGATAAGGATGCTTAAGATTTACTCACTTAACAACTTTCAAATATACCATACAGCAGTGTTAACTATTGTCATTATGTTGTACATTATATCCCAAGTACTTATTTATCTTGTAAACTGGAAGTTTGTACCTTTTGACCACCTTCATCCAATTCCCTATTCCCACCTCTGGTAACTGCAAATTTGATCTCTTTTTATGTGAGTTTATTTTTTTGTTTTTGTTTTAGATTCCACATATATGTGAGATCATACAGTATCTATCTCTCTCTGTTTGACTTAACTTAGCATAACGCCCTCTGGGTCCATCCATGTTGTCTCGAATGGTAGGATTTTCGTCTTTTTTATGGCCAAGTAATATTCCATTGTATATATATACCACATCTTCTTTACCCATTCATCTGTTGATGGACCCTCACGTTGTTTCCTTGTCTTAGCTATTGTGAATAATGCTGCTAATTAACATGGAGATGCAGATATCTCTTCAGTGTGGTGTTTTTGTTTTCTTCAGATATATTCCCAGAAGTAGAATTTCTAGATCACCTGATAGTTCCTTTTTTAAGTTTTTGAGGATCCTCCATACTGTTTTCCAGAGTGGCTACACCAATTTACATTCCCACCAGCAGTGTACGAGGGTTCCCTTTTCTCCACATCCTCGCCAACATTGGTTACCTCTTTTTGATGATGACTGTCCTTTTTTTTTTTGGCCGTGCCGCATGGCTTGTGGGGTCTTAGTTCCCCGACCAGGGATTGAACCCGGGCCCTTGGCAGTGAGAGCACGGAGTCCTAACCACTGGACAGCCAGGGGATTCTCAATGATGACCATTCTAACAGGGGTGAGGTGATACCTCATTGTGGTTTTAATTTTTGTTTCTCTGATGATTAATGATGTTGAGCACCTTTTCCTGTACCTGTTGGCCATTCGTATGTCTTCTTTGGGAAAATGTCTATTCAGTTCTTTGGGAAAATGTCTATTCAGGTCCTTTGCCCATTTTTTAATTGGGTTGTCTGTTTTTTTTGCTATTGTGTGAGTTCTTATATATATATATGTGTGTGTGTGTGTGTGTGTGTGTGTGTGTGTGTGTGTGTGTGTGTGTAATTTTTCTTTTTTGGCTGCGTTGGGTCTTTGTTGCTGCGCACAGGCTTTCTCTAGTGGCGAGTGGGGGCTACTCTTCCTCGCGGTGCGTGGGCTTCTCACTGCAGTGGCTTCTCTTGTTGCGGAGCACGGGCCTTAGAGCGCACGGGCTTTAGCAGTTGTGGCTCGAGGGCTCTAGAGCGCAGCCTCAGTAGTTGTGGAGCACGGGCCCAGTTGCCCCGCGGCATGTGGGATCTTCCCGGACCAGGGATCAAACCCGTGTCCCTTGCACTGGCAGGCGGATTCTTAACCACTGCGCCACCAGGGAAGTCCCTCTTTATATATTTTGGATATTAACCCCTAAAAGCAAAAAATTTTGAGACAAGCAAACGCGCCCTTGTGTGGCCCCAGAACCAGCTATTGGTAGACACATGAACAGGAACCAGTCTTGGAGCTAGTAAGTTTTTCATCTGAATTTTAAGTCTGCTATAAAATTATCAAAGCTGTGCATTGTATGGTTTCTTCTTACAGATCTTAAATCAACTGGAAGTGGTGAAAGAATTTCTGAGAAACAACGAGGATCTTAGAAATGGTCTTACAGAAGATATGCAGAAGCTAGACAGCCTCCAGCAACAGCCTCAAAAACTGGATTCGAAGGAAGCTAGGGCACAGACACCTGAAGGGAAGGCCTGAAGTGAGTTTAAGCATATGATGGTAAATAAGGACAGAATAGCCTCATCTCTTTAATGTCTGTTCTTTTAGGTAAGGCCATAACACACAGAGTCTCTTCTGAAGTTTCCCTATGTCCTTATTATTTGAAAGAAAGGACACTGAGCTTTGTGCTCTTTCTGATTGATGGTTCTCACATCTGTGAACTAGTTCAAGATAAACTCCCTGTCAGCTTTATTTAGTCGAGTATACCTGAAGTCATTGGTCTAGTCTTAAATGAATCAACTTTATGACATAATCAAGAAGCATTTCAGCCCTGAAGTGATGCCAGTGATGCCTCACTCTTAGCCATGGCATGAATAATAGCAATTTGTTCATTTTCATAAGAAAAACTTGTTGGAACTTCCCTGGTGGTCCAGCGGTTAAGACTCCGCGCTCCCAATGCAGGGGGCCCGGGTTCGATCCCTGGTCAGGGAACTAGGTCCCGCATGCCACAACTAAGACCCAGTGCAGCCAAATTAATTAATTAATTAATTATAAAAAATACTTGTTAAAATAAGTAACTATCTTCAGTATTTTACTTTTTTTCCTCAAATGAAGAAAATTAAATATTTTCTTTTATTTTAGGTTGACCTTCAACAAAAATCAGGCATGTTCTGTGAAAGTCAGCCGGGCTTCCATCTCAGCTGTCCTTTTCTGTGCAAAAGGGAAAACTTACCCAAGTACTCCACTCAAACAAAAAGGAATTTGTGTCCTCTTTTCCTGGACTTTCCTTTAACTCTCTGGAAGTTTTTTTTTTTTTTTTTTTTTTCACATTCCTAAGCTTGGTGTTATGTGATCTGTACCAGCCAAAAAATATTAGATACTCTTGTGCCAAACTTGCTGTCATCTGGGCTTTTTTGTTTGTTTTTTGGGTTTTGTTTTTGGTTTGGTTTTGCTGTTAAAAGGTGAGATTCTTTTCTGGTCCTAAAACTCTAACTGCTTAAACACTAAAGGCTGTGTTCGGCCAGGCCTGTGTGAAGGGCCACGCAGAGTTCTCTGCCCACTGGCACGCAAGTCCTGTGCCCACATCCTTGCCTGAAAGTCTCATTCGTGAGGATGCCCAAGGGTGGGCTGTGATGTACATGTTGAGATATAAATCCTTTTTGCCAGCAGGCAAGGAAAAAAATGTGCCCGAAAGGCCATTTTCTAGCCATTTCCAGTTAGTACAGAACTGTTACTACCTGTTTCTGGTAGCTTGAGGCAGTAGGACAAAGAGGTGGGCTGGAGAACACAGTAACTTGACTGACCAAAGCAGCGGGAGGGCCTAGGCCAGCATCACAAGCAGGGATGTCCGGGAAAGTTTTGAGGTTGCTGGCTTGTTTATGGCACTCTTAAGAAAAGTCAGCCTTGGTGGCAGTCACAGCTCTTCCGGTTCAGTAATAACCTGAGTGCCGAGCACAAGGCCTGGCCCTTGCGTGCTCAGTGAATATTCATTAACTGAAGGGTCAACTGATAGCTTAGAGGTATTCATAGACGCAAACGTTAGTTACACTGTTAACTAAGCCTTGTCCTTTCTTATGAGATTGAGGAATGAAACTTTAATATTCTTATGGAAGTTCAAAGACATCATTTTCTTTCAGCAAATTCACAAATTCATTCATACTTCCTTATTCCTTTTACCCAAAAAGTCATACACTTTTGACTTTGTCCTGTTTGTTTCCTAAACTGCAAAACCCCTGTCCCACATTGTATGCAGCGATCTGTGGGATCAGCTCTACCCTCACCTTCCCCTACCTCTGCTCATTTCCAAAACCAGCAGTACTGAACTGGGCCTTGTCGCCCCTGGACCTTGAGGGACAGAATTGCCGCATTCCCCACTGCCTGGAGGAAGTGCTTCCGTTTCGAGACCAGGTGAAGCCCTGCTCCTTTGCTTACTCAGCTGCCCAACAAGGATGTGATTTTTAGAGAATGGGGGTGGGGGGATGCATTTTTACCCTGAAATGCATTTAATGTAGTTCTGTAAAACCTGGATGAATGCAAATATGCCTGTCACTTCCTGCTTTCATCTTTCCTGCTACTATTTGGTCTGTAATCTTACATTTTCTTTCTCCCTTCATTTCATGGAGTTCCTTTAGAAGACTTCAGTAGTAAAGTAACAATTTTCTTTCATCTTGCAACTTCCCGCAAACTGAGAAACTCCATGAAATATTTCCTAGTTTCTACATGTAAGATAACAAAACTTGGGATCAAATTAAATCTTGATTCACTAACCAATTTAAGATCTGATTTCTCACCTTAGGAACTTTGGATTATGAACACTTTCATTTCATACCTCTTGTATCTATTTAGCTTTTCCTTATCTACCCAAGAAACGTTTTATCAAGTATCAGCCACATGCCAGGCACTGAAGTTGATGCAAATGGAGGATATGTAAGGTATGGACAATGGTATGTGAGCTGTCATCTTACTGGATTTATTGTCCGCTCTGATGAATTAAAGATACTGTTCAGGGAATTCCCTGGCGGCCCAGTGATTAGGACTCAGCACTGTCACTCAACTGCCGGGGCCTGGGTTCGATCCCTGGTCGGGGAACTAAGATCCCACAAGGCGGGAGGTGCGGGCAAAAAAAAAAAAAAAAGAAGGTATTGTTCAGAAAACATTATTCTGGCAACATTTAATTACATTAAAATTGAAACGAAGATAGGAAGACATGCCTGGAGGGGGCTTTAAAGCAAACACAGCTTTAAGACTTCATGGTGGCGCAGTGGTTAAGAATCCGCCTGCCAATGCAGGGGAGATGGGTTCGAGCCCTGGTCTGGGAAGATCCCACATGCCGCAGAGCAACTAAGCACATGTGCCACAACTACTGAGCCTGTGCTCTAGAGCCCGCAAGCCACAACTAGTGAGCCCTCGTGCCACAACTACTGAAGCCGGAGCACCTAGAGCTCGTGCTCCACAAAAGAATCCACTGCAATGAGAAGCCTGCACACCACAACAAAGAGTAGCCCCTGCTCACCACAACTAGAGAAGAGCCTGCGCGCAGCAACGAAGACCCAATGCAGCCAAAAATATGATAAATAAATTTATTATTTTTTTTTAAACTATAATAAAAAAAATAGCAAACATAGCTTTAAAGGTTGATCCGGGGACATCAACCCTGTGGGACTCTCTTCTACAGATCTGTGCACATGGGCACAGGGCACACACAAAAGGGTGTTCACAGCAGCCTTGGCAGGCAGCCATCGAGAGAGGACTGGTTAAATAATCACAGCACATCCATTGCTACCGAGTATTATGCAACTGTTAGAAGGCTGCAATGCCATGATAGGGGATGACGTGTAAGACATTATAGATAGAAAAGCAGAATGTGTAACTGCATAGCATGCTATAAAACTATGGTATTTTCAAAAAAAACAAAAACAAAAACTATGGTGTTTTCAAATAACAGGTCTGAAAAGTTGTGTACTTTTCCCAAGCTCTTTTGCCATGTTACCACTGCCAAAGGAATTGGGGTCGAATTTGGCTTTTCTGTTTTTTGCACACGCGTATGAAATTTTTACAACAAAGCTGCACTCCTGTAGTTTGAAAACTTTTCATTCAAATTTTGCATTTCAAAATAATACACATAAATTCAAACTGCAAGACTTATATGTCACGTTTCCTGGAATATATTGTAGCCTCCATTTTTGCGGGGGTCAGCTCCACCTCCAGGGGCACTCGTGAGTTATCAGGGTCAGCAGAGGCCCAGGAAGTGGTTTCCTTCCCGCACAGGGCTTCATCATCTCTAAGTGCCTTGTTTTTGTCCAGCAATGTGATTTGTTCCCAGCCTCTCCCTGAGACACAGTATGAGGTTCATAGTTTTGAAAGAATTAGAGGAGAAAAATGGTTGTAGCATTAGAGTTGCAAAGATAAGGCAGTTTGTTGGATTTTAGCCTGGGCTTTGCCAGGAAGGTCAGAGGACCTAAAGAGGAAGATGTTACTTATTAAACTCAGTATAAAACCCAAATTCTGGGAAGTAACAAAAGTGTGTCAATAACAAAAGCTTCTGAAAAAATAGCTCTGCCTATTTGGAAAATGTTTTTGGCTTCATAAAGTAGGGGTAGAGACCTGTAGACAGTTTAAGTTAAATTGCCAAGACCAGAAAGAATTATGTTTGAGAGTTTGGGGAGATTATGAAATGATTATTACCCTAATGATTTGAAGGGTGTGTTTTTATTAAAGTATTAATCACTTACATGGCTTTAAACACTAATATCCTAGGCAACAAAGGGTTAGAGCTCTTAGCTGGCTGGGCATGCTACAAATTAGATCCTGTAAGTGGAGCATTGCGTTAGAATGGAGGTGTTGCAATCTTTTGGATATTTGCTCTAATCGTTTTGCCCTCTAAATTAAAAATGTAGAGTGACAGGAAATTATCAGCAGGGATTACCTATTTTCCCCTTACCAGGTTAATTAGAAACGTACCTGCTCTGATATGTCTTCAACAGACAGTGGCCTTTTACTGAAATGCAATAGTCAAATTACAAAATACATTTTGTAAAACAAATCTAAAAATGCATTAATTTCCACTCATGTAAGAGCAAAGGGGGAAAATCTTTAAAATTTTAATAAAAATCTCGATACAAGGTTATGATTCATTTCAGAACTTTCAGAACTGCTTTTTATTATATGATAGTCTGAACTATCTAAAATAGTATGAGCTACCACCTATCTTCCAGAGACTTCTTTCCTGCTTCTCAAACCCATCCTCTGTAATATATGCATGTTTGTAATGACCACAGAACTGTAAACTGAGCATTTTGTGACATCTCTTGGGGAAGGTGAGCGATGACCTTACATGATTTATTACTTTCTACTGAGTTTCAGGAAGGCAGGAGAGTTTTTATTTCAGAGCCACGTGTGGTAGCCAGTCTCCAAGATGGCCCCCAATGATCCCTGCCTCCTGCTATTACCACCCTCGTGCTGTCCTCCCACAGCGTACCAAGGTTGGTCCATGTGACCAAGAGAACACAGCTGAAGTGATGGTATGTCAATTCCCAGATTAAGCTATAAAAGACTATGGTTTACAAACTGCCAGTTCCCCCATTTTTAGGCATGAGGAAAAGAGGAAAGGATTATGATCTTGTCGTTTTTATTTTCTGTTTACCTAGAATTCAGGGTTGACAGCCACTGACCTGAGTTGTTTATTTATCCTGATTCCATTGAAGGTTCTGTCATTGCTCCCGGTCACCAACAGATTCTAGGTTCTCTTGCTAAGTACTCCTTAAAAGTCTGAGCTGGATTTCACTGAATTCATTTAAACCCCCTTGGAAGTATTTCCCTCAGCAAAAGTAGCCCTTGGAATTTTTTGGCGTACAGACATCGTGGCTTCTCTGGCCCGGACAACCGAAACAAGTAACAAAAGCATGCTCCCAGGAGAGCTTAAAAAAAATAAATTAGCTAAGTTGAAGTGTCTTTCATTCCGCCTTCCTCCCCTACATAAACTAACCCTCGAGTTGCAGGTCCCGTGGAGAGGAAGACTAGCCAATCTGCCCTCACCTTCTAAAAACCGTTTTATTTCCCTGTCACGAAATAAACAACACTCAACAGCTTCAGTTCTGTGCTATTTGCCATTTTTTTTATTAAAAGAACTGCAGGTTTCAATCAGATTCGCACTGTTTCAGAGTCAAAACCAAACTTTTCATTGATCTTTTCTTTAGGAAGAACAGTTCAGTGCTTGCAAGGTGCAAAGATTTGATAGGGCCCTCTCAAATCATGTTCTGGGGTCAGCGGATCGTAGTCGGTGACCTCCAGGCAGTCGCCGTCAGTCACAGGGTCTTCAGCTGCAGGGGTGGTAGCGGCGGTAGAGCCGGGAGAGGCGACAGAGGCAGCAGCGGCTGTGGCCGCCGTGGCGCCGCCGTAG